AACAGTACAAAGTTAATCGATTAGTGTTAATTAATAATTAGATAATAGAAAATAAATCCAATAATTTGACTTGTTACGTAATTCATAAGCCTAATGATTATTGAAGATGTTCTTTAAACAACAGAGACGCATTATTTCATTCAATTGATTGAAATGTTAATGGAAAATTAAGGGGTGTTTTACAAGTAATTTGAATCTAAATTACAAATGTTCTAAAAATAAACCTGATTAGCTGAAGGTATGAAAAACTGGTTAACATACTTTACTACTACTTGTGTAGTAGTAAATTAACATGAAAGAGTATTTATTGCCGTCTAATAGGCCTACTATAAACGTACTTTCACCTCTATATAAAATCTAACAATTAATTGAATGACAATGAATTTTTAAATTTTAAGTCCATACTGTAACAATCCCTCAGCAATTTAATTAAGACTTAATTAAAACTCATTGGACCGCTATAGCGGAAACTTCTTACTTCGCGGACTGCTTCGACTAATTTAATTAACATTGTTCTATGTACAATTGAAATGCACTCCTGTGAAATAACTGCGGAAAGATTGAGGAGGAGATTCAGCTGACTTATTATTGACAGTAATACCTTAAATTAGTAATAAACCGTAAAAAACGGTTAGCTTTTTTGCCAAACGTAATTAATTCTACACCTTATTTAAATCGGATGTAAAAGGATAACTTACGTTTGTATATACAGAATAATACAGAGATAAATACAGAGCGTTCCACATAGAGTTTATTCGGTTGATTTTGTATTACTAGCCCAGTTATGCGCAGAAACATTGAAAACTTTACACAGTTTATAAAGTAGGTTTTGAAATATTCTAAGGTAAATGCAACTTCTTATAATTTTTTTAAAACGAAATATCAGCAAAAATAAGAAATTTTTTTTTTATTTTTTTGCTTCTTATAACAATTTTTGAATTAATATCTTACTATTTACTGTATTGCAGTTTCGACACTTGTTCACCTGTTTGATTAAAGAATATTTCTTGAACCATAAAAGGATAAGTTTTACTGAATCTGAATTTCAATTTATGACTTATAATGAGAAATAAATAGTGAAGAAATTAGTAATGTTAACATGGTTTTTTATTTATACTTGTTTTAAATTTAGTTCTGAACAAAAATTAATCTGTTGACACACTTTAAAATAATACCACAATTGTTTTGAGCATAACATGTAGGCTATGGCATTGTCGTCTCGAAACTCCTAAATCTATAATTTATACTTTGTTATGCAGCCTAAACCCATAGAGTAATCAGATTTGTAGAATTTTACTACCACATTTTAATATATCCATAATAGTATATTTACCATCGTACAGTAGTGGGTAGTTCATTGGTTTCAAAATAAAGTTACATTTGTTGTTTGCCAAACAGGTACGATGCGTTACTCTCCGCCACGGCAAACCTGCAGACTAAGTGAATTTCCATTTTCCTAATTGGATTGACACTATAAGTCTCCATAAAAATATCTCATTTATTCCCTATTTAGGCCTAAATAGAATTAGTTTATTAAGTACTTAGGTTTGTTGGAACAGGGAGGATAAAAAGTGTTTTTTGTTGTAAAATGTTAATATTTTAGTGAGAAATGAATGTATTTTCCAAATTTGATCAAAATATGTTCATAAACAAACAAACTACAACAGTTGACTTATTCTCCATGAGAATAACATGGGATTTTTAAATTGAATTTTTTTTTTAATTTTCTCCGTAAACATTAGGTGCATAATAAAGCTTCAATGTACTAAATTATATGTTTTTTAAGCTCTACAACATGGTATGGAAAGAAATTTAAAATGTTGTGTTTTTGGGGTCAAAAATGGTAAAACCCTATTTTTCCCCAATAATCTCACGTTACCATAGTCCGATCATACTGGTTCGCAAACTCGTTCGAATAGATGTAGGTTTAACACGTTTATACCAAATTTATGAAAATCTGATAATTTTTGCTCGAGTTATTGTGCTAACGGACATATATATATATTTGAACGGATGGTGTTTTTGGCCTCTAGGGACCTCAAAACGAAAGAGTAAATCGGTCTCGGGTCCAGGTCTTACCATGAGTACTACGGTAATATTTTATTCTTTATATGGGAAATTCGCTAAAAACGAAACACATACGTAGGACGAGCAATCCAACTTATGAAAGATGGTCAAACTTGTTTATTGTTTTTGTTAAATTTCCAACCAACCGTGGACGGAAGTATGTGTTAAGGGAATGTTAACCGTCGCAGACTTGTTTGTACAAAGTTGTAAAATGTTCAAATGTTTCTTGGGAAGTTTCGAACCTAAAAGTTATATTTTTTGTACGACAGTTTAAAAGCTTGGCTTGATATTGGTGAATCAAATCTTCTCTATTAAAGTTTTTAATATCAGTAAACTTACTAAATAAATATATCACTTACATAAGTGTTCAAATTTATAAATAAACTAGCTGCTGTACCAACTTGAGGAAATGTAATTTGTATTGCAAATTCAACGATTATAACTCAGACGTTACGTAAACTCTTTATACTATTATATTACTTTTATTAATCCAATTAATAAGTTTACATACGTTTACCATTATTTAAAACACTCTTCTCGAGTACGAAAAGCAGTAAATAGTAATTTCAGCAGATTAAAAGACGTGTCAATACCGTTTTGGTTAATCATATGACAACTACATGGTTTCGGACTCTGAGCTAACAATACAACAATCAACTAATCAACAGTCTGTTCGGCAAACATGTTATCTGATGACACATTTTGCCTAGATTTCTACATTAATGATGTATAAATATGACTATCAGAGTAAATGTTATTCATTGAGCTGTGAAATCGATAAATTTTTACTCGAATGGGTAAAATCTCCAATGATCTTTAAAACTATCTGATTTATATATCACAAAGAAATAAGAAAACTAATGTTTCCTTACTTTCAAATTAATGTTTTTATTACCTTTTTAGCATTCTCCCTAAAACATGTCAATACTGCAACAGCCCTCTCGCAGTGGTCCTTCTTGCTCAGGTCTATAAAAACACATATATGATTACTTCTGGTATTTTTAAATTTAAAACTGTTGGGTTACAGAAACATTTTTGCCAACAAGTGTCCAAAGCTATTTACTGATGCACCCTACCAAAATAGTGTAGCTAAAATCTTTAGTTCTTAAATTGTATTATGATAATATAACATGTTTATGTCACAAGCTTGTCAAATGAGGTAAAACGTTATAAGGTATATTAGCAGTATTTTACCCCCATGTATTATCTCAACTGTATATCAACAAAGCAATTGTGATTTTAAACTAATTAAAATATTCTTAATGCAAATAAACTGGGCATCAATCTATGAAGCTGGAATTCACATAGTATACAAACAGCACTGGACTGACTGGGTGCCGAAGTTTCTAAAGATACGAGGAGAGACCGATGTTAACAACTTTTGATTTATGACTTAAACCTCTTGGAATTTAATGATGTTCAACTTGATCTTAACTTCTCGCACTCCGGAGAATAGGCACTATTTCCTGTGAGTATAATCATTGACTATTGGATACAGAAGGTATAATAAATATATCATCAACTTAAATAGCGTTCAAAAGAACTTTTAAACATTTGTTTGTTGTTTGTTATTTATGAGAGTGAATTAAGTTTACAAAATAAAGTGGTATACTATCTCAGTTATAAACTACAAAAAGTAGTTATGACATGAACATCCAACATCAACTTTCCAGTACTAAAGACCCTTATCGCAACCTAAACAGAATTTGTGATGCTGTTTTCCTTCCACGTAATCCTTGACTTGTAAGAGTAAATCAGTCAAATAAGTCTTAAAATTGCATCCACATTCCATAAAGACCATAAAATTCGCTAAAAATATTAATTATATTATTTCAAAAATGGCGGCAAACTTGAAAAGTGGAAAACTGTATTTTATGGTCTTAATGGAATGGGGATGCAATTTTAAGACTTATTTGACTGATTTACTCTTCGCATTTTCGCTATAAACCTACTTGTTTAGGAGCTGCATGATGTAAAATGTGCACCGGAAGTCATTTTTAAATAGGCTGTAACTCCTAAACGAGTGGGTTTATCGAAAAATGTCATGATAAAAAAAGTTTTTAAATTGCATGTTCTATCCGAACACATGATAAAATATAGGGTGTTCCATAAGAGATTTCAAAGTTGGCCGCCATTTTGGAAAATGGCGGCTGAATTTCGAAAAAATAAAATCATATTTTTAACTGCCACAAAAAATAAAGGAATGTCCTCCATTTAAAGTTTTCTCTAATTCTTGCCGTTTCCGATATCCTAATGGTGGCCTCCTTGAGTTGATCACCCTGTATATTCTTCAATACAGCTTACTTTTCCATTACGGTAATAAATTATTACTCTAGGCACCCAAAGTCCAAAGGTCAAAACTGAGTAACCCTTGTTTAGAAGCTGTATGAATATTCCCCGACTGACAAACCAACTTTACTTTACTTTAATGAACTTTAAAAATCTTCCTTTCGTTGAAATTGTCAGTAGCATCTTTTGAGGGGTTGGGCGCATTAATTCTTGTTGTTTTGTCTTTTCATAATGCGCAGGTCTGACTGAAGGATCTTTTCAAGTTTAGTCTTGTAATTTAATTTTAAATCTGGGTAAAAAGCTGTTAGCTACCCATACTCTTTTAAATTTTAATTTAGCTAGGTTAGTCATTTAATTGTGTTAATTTTTAAAAGAGTTGTATAATTTCTTTTCAAAACGTATATCAATTGAACTCTAACCTATCCCTTCAACCATTATTGTTTTGAAAAGGAATTGGGGACAGTCACTTGTATTTGTAAAAACATCTGTACTACAACTTTTCTTTCTTTTGTCAGTGTAATTTGCTATTGTCTTTCACGGTGCCTGGTATGACCTCGCACGTCTCGGAACTAAACGCTGGAACATTTTAAATCATGGATCTAGGTCGTGAAGACCGGTCTGGCGAACAGCTGTTCTGACAAGGAAGTGTTTGACCACGTGATCAGCTGTTCAGCTGATGCAGATCTGTCAGTCTTCCAGTCTTCCTACCTCCATCATGAACAAACTGTACAAGACGCTGATAGTTCTAGCTGTTCTCTCAGGCGCCGCTTTGGTAAGTAGATAATATTAGAAGGAATACTAACTACCTTTTGACGATTCTAGTGTAATTTGAGTAACACTTTTGGTTGGCTTCAATTTTATAGTTTGCTTAGTTATGTATTGTTGCATATTTAAAGGTTTCAACAAGATGTTAAACGTTTTCTTTGAACTTCATACTCTATTAAGTAGTTAAAATCGTTGACATAAGTAATACTGTCAGTAATACAGTAGACATTTTTTTCCAATTACTCTAAGAATTTAATTATTTAAACGAAATGAAATGAAATTACCTTGACCAATAACAGATTTGGTGTGTACCTATAGCAATCGGAGCATATCCACAGAAAAATGTATAGTTACGGACCGATTTTCTTTCAAATCATTTGTGATTCGTAGGCAATTACTACATTTAAATTTAACTATGGCATAAATTCAACAAACAGTACTCCGTTATAGATTTATCACCCTTGTATTAGCTGAAGGCAATTTGAAAGTATATCTCCATCCAATGTATTTAGATGGTGTTTATTGTTTACTATGTGTAATTCATGTTATTTAGCCAATTTTTGATATATTTCAACAAAATAAACTATATGAGTGTGAACAATTGATTTTACTATATTATTTAAGAGCCTGGTGCACAGTGTTAAACCTACTCTAGTATACTAAAACGCCGTTCAAGACACCTAAACAGGCAACGGATTTTACAATTGGACAAGAAGTAAACTTTCCCTTTTCAAAGTCACTTGATCAATGAAGAAGATTTTATCGGAGAAAGCTCGAAAGCTCAAACGTAAGCAACGTAGAATGCATAATAATGCTTTAGATATTTCAGTAGGCGTGAAATATAACTTGCAATATTCAAAGTTTACCTACGTTTTGTTGGGGTTTTAACTGCCGGAAACCAATCCCAAAGGTTTTTGTTCCAAAAGGTCTAAGGGATTCTTAAAGGTATATCATTTCATTGCAACCTATTATATACTTGAACTAGAGCTTACGAGTTTAAAATTTCCCTTATGCACAATATTGAAAACACAAATTTGCATTATTCAAATGATTGATTATATGTCATAAAAAGGAACAATTGTGTTTTACTATAAGGCGTAACAATGCTTCATGACCTTGAAATGTCTCAAGGGCACAGAATTGAATTTCAAATTAGCGGAAAACTCTCAACAGGATCAAAATTTAAATGAAAAACTTGCAGAGATTATTGTTGTGAAGGTATTGCTCACAGATGTGTTTTGAATGAGGATTATTTATGTGAGTTCTTTCAACCTATTGAGTACAATGTTTATAACATCTACACTGAATTAGATTTTTAGTACCGGGACCGAGCCTTGCTTGGTGGTGGTTAATTAGGTTTAATCGTTAAAACAATATCGCAAACAGACACATTTTATAATTTACGAAAAACATTTGTATTACAACCCATAGACATTTGATCGCTGAAACAAGAAACAACTCTGTACTGTAATGTTGTACTCTGTATAAGTATACAATTATAAACAAAAATAAGATACACTTTTATGATATTGACAAAGTTTATGTGACCCCCGCACAGAATGTTTCTCGCCCATCATCATCAGAAACATGCCAGTCATTGAAACCCGTTGTTCGACTATTTCGCTCACCGATGATCATAAAAAGTATAAAAGTATGATCAAAAATCATATTAGTTTCAAATGCTTGTGACAACGATTTTTCACTTTTGCGCGTCTGAATGAATTAAGATTTTGTCTCTTTTTTCATTGGGATTTAGCATTCGGTAATAGTTTTATACCAAACCCCCAGATGTAATTAATTTACTTGGAATATTGTTATAATGATGTGATCAAATCTATTTCTTCTCCTTTAATTTTCCAATCAAACCCCCCATACATCCAGTGCTAAGACTTTTAGTTATCTAGTGTTTACAGCATCATTCACTGTTCCCCGCAATATGCCTATACTACTGGTCCACAAATAAATTTGTTTGCTCCAAAATTATCTATTCCTAAAATTACAACCACATTATTTCCCTAGTTTTTAAATAAATTTATTTAGTTAGAACATCTATAAACAATCAAATCTTTAGTGTATTCTTTGCCTAATAGACACAAATACTATTTTTCTCTTTGTACAGTATTTTGTAATTTGCTAGTATACAGTGGATAGCTTGTTATGAACACATGCTACAAGGCCTATATCACTAATTTCAAGCTTAGTGAAGGGTAATTTGTTATTCGTAATTTATTTTTATTATGTACATATTATGTTTTGAGCAACGAAACGTTGTTATGTAGCGGTATATTATTTTTTCTTTGTCCTTGGACGCTAGGCACGAGCCCGGAATCGTTTTTTCACATTACTTCAGGCTAGACCTAGGGGTTACGTCATTATCTCATGGATAAAATTAATTGGTGATTTGGATATTATATTGGTTACAGTTTTCAAAAAGTCATAGGATAATCAATTAATTTCAATTATTTTTTTTAATTGAAAGTAAGTCTGTGTATTAAATTACTTGAATACGATAAAAAACTACAGATTGATTGTCTACTGTATTACAGGTTAGAAAAATGTTTGTATAATGTTGGCAGATTATAGGCTACTATTGAAATTCCGTTAACAATAGTAATAATTTTCCAACTGTTAAAGTCAATGACTAACGACAGAGGTCAACTGAAAGCTTCAAACAATATTTGACTTTTCAATGTAATACTGATTGTCTACACATTAGTTACAACTTAAATCTCTCCTTTGGGCAAATGTCTAAAACATTTTGAAACTGAAATAATATTTATCTAAATCTGAAGCTAAATAAACTAAATCTAAAAACATTCGTCAAACGTGAGTAATTTTAAAGACATGTGTTAATTAGTGCCAGAAAATTGATGATACTAATACTCGTACAAACTACTAAATACAATTTGTTTAAAGAAAAAAGTCCAAATAACTAACGTACAAAACTGCTAGTTGTCAATCAATTTATTGATAGGCATTACATTTATTACATTACATTTATCTACATTGCAAAGTCACAAGAAATCAACGCTGAGTTGGTACAGTGACCAAGATATTGTTACTTAACTTACTGAACAGTTTTTATCGTACTAAACAATATTTTGAAATATATTATTGTATTTACAGGGAGCGCTACCACGAGAGAAAAAGCTTTCCTTCCTAAAGGAATGTGAGGAAGAACACAAGACTGGACTTAGTAAGTTTTTGTCACTTGTATTCTTACCCTATGTATGTGTATTTGTAGAATACACATACTGACATACATATATGACAAAGTTAACTCAATTGTCAGAAAAGGAATGCTATAGCCAAAAACAGTTATAACAAATTAACGAACTCTATTTAATATTGTTTAGTGCTAACCTGTAAAATAATGCAAATTCCGAAGGTTTATATATAATCACGGTTCATGGTGTGACTCTGATATTAAAAATAAAATTGCTGTATAATTTTCATTATATTTTGTCTTTATTTTTTTAGATATTGAAGAGATACTGGACAAATGGCTTATTCCAGAGTCCAAAGAAGGCCAAGTAAGTACGGTATTAGCCATACTATAAGATATCTGCAAGCATATCTATATTCTTTATACAATAAAGGTTTTCTTTGTAACATCCGATTTTCAACTATCCTCTTCAACCGATTTTCACGATTAAGGTGTCGTTTTAAAGCTTTACTAGTTAACCGCCCGTGCTCCGCCACGGGAATATTGTCAGCAATAAAAGAAATAATAATTAACAAACTGTTTATCTTTGTACCTATTTTATTTAGGGGTTGTTAAATTTTTTACATGAAATAGAACTGGTAGTTTGCCTGTATAAACTATTTTATGTTAATCAAACCGATATATTATTTTAACCAAATGAATGTTTTATATTAATTCGAGTTTCATTTGAAAAATAAATAGTATACGAACTGGGCAAAGCTGATAACCTAATAAGCAGCTATTTATGCTATTTAGATAATTTGCTCAAATATATTCCTATATTCGTTTTTTTTTTCATTACATTTGTTGTATGGAATAAAGATAGTCACTTAGCCTACATGTAAATCACGCATCAGCAGTTGGTCGCATTTCACGAATCTTTGACCCATACTTTGAGTTAAAGCTGTGTTTACGTCGTATATATAAAGTTGGGCATACTTTGTTCAATGTTAGAGGGTATTAACGGTCCAATTTGATGGAAAAGGAGTCGTGGATTTTAAAACTATGTAGACTACCACTACCAGAAAGATGTTGATTCAAGTGAGACTTAGAACTGGCCATTTCAAATGCAGATTTGTATTATATTTTACTCAAATAGTTTTTTGTCTCTTTTGACCCTTAATACTTTTTTATAGTCGCTGTTAATAAGATTTTCCATAAACTCACAATGTTGATAAGGAGTTCATTTTACCTTCCTCTACATGTTTTTTTCGTTCTGTATTATGTCTCTTTACGCCCGGTTAATGATTAACTTTTATTTTTATTTTTGTACTTTTCACATCCTAGGGTTAATGGTAAAGTTTTATAACGCTATAATGACCCGAGTCAACATTGCCATTAAACATCAAGTCAGATACTTCTTCGCCAGAACCGAAGTCACAGTTTCTCAAGCAACTTCCTTGTGTAGGCCTACTCGAAAAATTATAGTTAGGGGATAGTTCACTGATAAATTGTAGTTCCAAATATCCCAGCGTACTCGCCATCTCGAGAAGGTAAAATTTGGACGTTGAACACTGATCTTGAGTAAGATTAATCATTTACGATAAAATGTTTGTATGTTTACCAATCATTAGCAATTATCTGTACAACTTGCAAGCGGATTTCCCTATGATTGTTCTGGTCGCTATAGAGAATAAATTATATTGATCAAAACATTAAGTTTCCGTTCCCTACTATGGGTATTATTTCACATTCCATACTCAAACTTAAACTCAATTACCACTTTCCTTCAGATCACTTTGCAGGAAATCTAAAACATTTTTGTGTCCCAGTTAGTCTGTTCTGACCGTTCTGACTCGAAATTCATAGATTTGAAGTAGTGACAAATCCAATCTAACGACCTCAATTCAAAAGAGTTGGAATTTTTTGTAGGGACTTCCAGAGCACATTTGACACCAACACTGCTCTTTACCTTTTTAGTTCGATGGTTCTCTAAATTTTTTTTCGTTCGGTATGTCTCTTTACCCCTGGTTAATGATTACCTTTTCTTTTTCTTTTTGTACTTTTCACACCCTGGGGTTAATGATAAAGTTTATAACGCTATAATGACCCGAGTCAACATTGCCATTAAACATCAAGTCATATACTTCTTCGCCAGAACCGAATGGTAAGTCACTGTTTCTCAAGCAACTTCCATGTGTACTTGAAAATAAATTCACTGATATATTGTAGTTCCACGTATCCCAGCGTACTCGCCATCTCGAGAAGTTAAAGTTTGGTACCACTGAACGTCTAACACTGATCTTGAGTAAGATTCGTCACCTACTATAAAATGTTTGTATGTTTCCCACTCATTAGCAATTATATGTACAACTTGCAAGCGGATTTCCCCATGATTATTCTGGTGGCCGTAGAGGATAAATTATATTGATCAAAACAATAAGTGTCCGTTCCCTACTATGGGTATTATTTCACATTCCATACTCAAACTTAAACTCAATTACCACTTTTCTTCAGATCACTTTGCAGGAAAACTAAAACATTTCAAAAATAAGTTAACAAATGCACTTTCCTTGATCAAAATCGGTATTTATAAACAGAAACTCCAAGTTTAATAATAATTGCATACTGAAAGTGAGGTTATAAAAATAATAACAAATGTCTGACAAACATTAAACAGCTGACGAATAATTTATAAACTGTGTACCGTATTATATTCTTCAATAAGAATTGTATTGACTCGACCTTTAAAGGGCTGTAGGTCGTAGCCCTTAGAAAAAACGTATAAATTCTAAGGAAGTTCGGCAAATCTACACACTATCCCCTTTAATTTGAGACATAAATCTTGTAGATCGGTCCAGTAATTACTGAGAAAACAGTGTTACAACTGTGTATTAAATATATAGAAGATAGATGATCCAGCACCTGCGAATGGTAACGGAAAAAGACATTTCCCTAAGGGCTTCGCCCCTTGCGTTTCAATTATTTCTCAAGTTCACTTTCAAAGATCCAGTGTTGCTGATGAACAATTTTTATAACGGTTTAAATATGAATTGTATTCCAATAGCTGATCCTTCAGTTGAATGTTTAACCACAGTCATATTGTAAACAAAAGACATACTAAACAGTTTATGAAAATTGCTTCTAAATAGACTACTTTTTTGATAATTAAATTGCAACATGATTGAGATGGGTAAGTCACTCTTCGGTCTTTATGGTGTAGATCTAGGTATTAAAGAGTAAACCAATATTGCATTATTATTTGTACCTAGGAGTTTAGTGTTGAGTCCTATTAAAATGTACATGTTGTGAATTGGTCCATTTTTTCTTTGTTATTTATACACTAAATAAAATCGTTTTTGTCATACAATACTTTAATTCATACGTTTTACAATAGAGATAATACATTTTGTCAATCTATGTTGCCATCTTCAGACGGTCTGGGAATGCCAACGTAGACTGCCTAAATATAGTATTTTCAATGTACAATATATAATCTAAAAATATATAACATGCTGTATGAAAAAATCTATGGGTTTATTTTAGTGTAAGCTAACAAAACTTTGTGCAACACGATTTATCAATATGTTATTCATAAAAAAATTACAAGAGTTTATAGTGTGCAAATGGAGTTTTGAACCACAGTGGGTCAAATTCATTTAAATTAAAACCTCTAATAAGTAGCCTCAGACAGCCTAGTTCAAGGCTACATTAAAAAATCGTCCTTGCTGGATAGGGCAAACCAACTCAAATATGTGTTCTGCATGGCTATTGAAGTTAAGTATTCAAGAACCTTAGAAATGCGAAGACTGTGCATATTTAATAAATAAATTTCTGTTATAAGCCCGTTTAGCTTTACGGGGTTAATACATATTACAGTTTCTCACTTTAGAAAAGATCACAATATGTTCTAAGTAAAGGCTGACAAAAATGGGGAGTGAGCATAAATTATCTTTATTAGCGAATTTCCCATATAGGGAATAAGCTATTACCGTAGGTCTCGTGGTAAGACCTGGACCCGGGACCGATTTAGTTTTTCGTTTTGAGGTCCCCAGAGGCCAAAAACACCATCCGTTCAAATTCATATATATATATATATATATATATATATATTTATATTTATTTATTTATTTATTTATATATGTGTCCGTTAGCGCGATAACTCGAGCAAAAATCATCCGATTTTGATGAAATTTGGTATAAACGTGTAAACCTACATTTATTCGAACGAGTTCGCGAACCAGCATGATCGGACTATGGGAACAGGGGTTTATGGGGGGTTTTATGGGGTAAAAATGGGGTTTTCTAATTTTTCACCCTGAAAACATAAAATTTTGCAATTTCTTTCTAAACCATTTTGTAGAGCTCAAAAAAACAAATAATTTAGTATATTGAAGAATTGTTGCATGCCTAACGGTTACGGAAAAATCGCAAAATAATGTAAATTTAAAATTACCATGTTATTCTTATGGATAATAAATACAGTGTTGTAGCTTGCTTGTGATGGACATATATTAATGACATTTTGAAATTTTGTTTACTTCATACTGAGCTATTAATATTTCAATAAAAATCCCCTATTTTCTTCCCTGTGGCAGCAAACCTAAGTACTCATTAATATTAATGATGTTTAAATAGGAAATAAATCTGACAATTTTAAGGGAATAATTTAGTGGAATTCCAGCTGTGTATATGGGAATTCGCTTAGTCTGCAGGTTTGCTGCGGCGGGGGTATTTTTTATTTTTCATCTCTCCTCGCTTTAAACTTTCATTCTTCAGTTTTTGTATCTTTTTTAAATTAAATATTTATTTTATGCAAGGATAACATCAATGTCTGTTTCTTTCAGTGTCTGATGGAATGTTTCGTCCTGAAAAAGGGATTGGTGAGTAGACATGTAAAACTCTGGTTCATTCTTTACAAGCATTCTCAATAACATATATTCTTTCAGATGTTCAAATAGTTTCAAGAGTTTAAATTGTAAATATTCTATAGTTAAATACACTTTTAAATGTTTAAATTATATAAAGGATCTTTACTTTGTCAACAATTATTATTTTAATGTATGATGATACAAGTAATTTAGTTGTTTTTTGGGATACTTTAATCTGAAATGGCGACCATACGAATGTAGGTATTTTAAGCTAAATATGAATGGAGATAATGTAAAGACAAATGACAGTTTCAAATATTGCTGCTTGTCATTATACTTTGGACCAAATAAAACTTGTCTAGTAAATTTTTGTTGTTTACTTATGGTAAGCAAATGCAAATTTAGCATTTGTGGAATAAACTATCGACCAAATACTACAACATTATTTTCACACTATCGCATGGATATTCAACAGATCAACAAGAATGCTGAGATTGACCACAAGACAGCGACGCCACACTTCATCGAGAGTTTTCCAGGGGATCAGACCAGTGTTGACAAGGCTGAACAAGCTTTGGCTGAGTGCGATAAGTTGGGTAAGAACCCGACAAGTTCAATCTCGTTAAATTCCGAGAGGTAGAAGCCGTAAATCAACAATTTTTACCATCGGTTCCTCCTCGTCTCTTAAAGACAGTTTTGAACTTCAGCACCGAGTTAGTTTAGAGCTGTTTTGTATATGTGCAGCTTCAAAAATTGATGTCCAGTTTATTTGCATCAAGAATATTTTAATGAGTTTTTAAATCCTAATTTGTTGATCAAATACAGTTGAGATAATTTCATTGGGGTAAAATATTGGTAGAATAAATCTCATAATTTTTTACTTCATTTGAAAATTTTGGGGCATAAACATGCTATATTATCATAATATAAGGACTAAGATTTTAGCTACACTATTTTGCTAGGGTTTGTTAGTAAATATCTTTGGGTCCATGTTGGCACTGTGATAAAAAATGTTTCTGAAACCAAACAGTTTAAAAATGTAAAACCACCAGAAGTAATCATATCTGTTTTGTTTCTTATAGATCTGAGTAAGAAGGATCACTGCGAGAGGGCTGTTGCAGTATTGAAATGTTTTAGGGAGAATGCTAAAAAGGTAATAAAAACATTCATTTGAAAGTAAGGAAACACTAGTTTTAGTCAGTTTTTGTTAACAATTTTGGACTACATAGATATCAACTAGCTTAATTGATAGCCTGAAACAGTAGTATAACAAATTTTGACAAGGTTAACAAAATTAACTGTTTAGGGAAAAATGTTTGGTAATTGGACAGCGAGTGGTGGATCCAAAGGGGGCAAGTGGGCAATTCCCCCCCCCCCCCAAGACTTTGATAAATAAATCTGCTTGAAATACTATATGTTTAAATTGCAAAAATGATCATGTTTTGTCTCTCAATTTTGTTAAAACACGAGCTTTCAGTTCAATTTTTTTCGAAATTTACAGGGGTGAACCCCCGGACCCTCGCTTTACTTCAAACTCCCTAGACCACCCCGGAAAATTTATCCTTACAATCTCTCACGCAGCAAGGAATCTTTGGAGGGTATAAGTTAGTGTTAGTTATGCTGTTAGGAACGTTATTCTTGGTTTGTTGGTTACTCATCACTAAATAAAAATTATATACAATTACTAAAAGAAATTTGGAGATATATTTCGAGTTTTCATCAAAACCCATCTTCAGCCTCTGGTATCAACATATCAGGTAAATAAATTAACAAATCAGGTAAAACTGTTGGGAATGGTTACAATTTAGATGACAATACTTGTCTCACTATTTCTTGGACAAATGTAATTTTAATTTTGAATCCAACTTATTTAATTGCTGTTGATACATAATTTGTTAGCTGTTCAGAATAACTCAGCAACCAAGTTGGTTTACTGACTTTTTTAATATTTCACTTCCAAACCTTTATTGGTAGTTTAAGTAGATACGATTTCAATATTATAGAAATGATCGAACATATTTATTTACCTTTTTCAGATTGGGTTGAAGCACTGAAGCCTGGAAGTTTAACAACGGATGCTGGGAATGGCACAATGATTTTTAATAAAATTGCACACCGTATATGTTTTTGCTCTTGATCCCATATCAACCTTATTATAATAACACTAGGGGACCATAAAAGCAATGACTGCTTTTTAGTTATTTTATACAAAGTGAAATTCAATACACACTTTTTTCACATTTAGTTGCGGTCCTCCCCTAACACGATACATTTCAACACTGCATTACCATTCTAACCTAGAAACAGAACACTAAAATCAATAAACAAAATACGCAATGTTTACATCAGCTGGTATATTTAAAACAGCTTATAGAAACACTGTAGCAGTACTTCCATTAGAAAATGGCTGGATCTTTGACGGCCTGCGGGGCAGAGCAGGGGTAATTGTTGACACTTCTGATATTTTTCCTATCGTCCTCGGACCTTAAGCTTTAAAATGAATCATCAACAGCTATGCTACCTTTTTTCAGCTCAAGATATTTCGTGGGGACCGATTCGCTTACGTAATTATTCACCTCCGGTGTAAATTTGGCCTAGTGCTATCTGTGTGGAGAACGCTGAACTGTTACGCCGCCCCGCGCTGCGCGTGAGGGGGTCGCAGTTGTAGAGTTATTTTAAAACAACGAAAAACATTGAAACCAATTCACTTTTCAAGAAAACTAAAAAGTAGTTTTAAGACTGAATATATAAGGTTACTTGTAAGCCAAATTTCACAATTTTACGATAACGTTTACCTACTGTAACATTGAACTAGTTCTGTCAAGTCCTTATGGAAAATATTTTTTTTTTATTTCAACAAAAACAAATTTAAAAAACTTTTTTAAGAATGTTTTTGCATGCTACACGTAGGTTAAGTTATGTTTTTTAATACTACTTTTTGATCCATGCCAAATACGCAATCGTTTAATTGTAGTTAAGTGAAAAGCAAATTAGTCCCATGTTAAATAACAGGCCCTGCCAGTAGCGTGGTGGTTGACTCCTGCCGCCTCTTAACTGTTTCCTATGCCGTGCACCATTCTTAAATACTCTCCTTCGTAGTCGCGGACTTCCCCTAACACGGTACATTTCAACACTGCATTACCATTCTAACCTTTCGTGGTGACCGATTCGCTTACGGCATTAAAAATATAGATTTAATTACAATAAACCCTTCGTAATTCGTACGCCATTAATACGTATGTTTAATGAGGACAGCCATTTGACAACAGTTTATGCGAATAGTGTCCAGTTGAATTACAAATGTGCACTACTGTAATCTAGTATTTTCGCAGAGTGTGGGTGTCACTGTGCTTTTGAGTGCAACTTGGAGCGGGTGGGGAAAAGGGTAGATGGACAGTTTGACATATTTATGCAATGACTGTCGTTATCTTTCTTCACCTTCACGTCCTAGGACACTAGGTTTTAGCACTGAACTGTTTTACACATTTCTACAGGCTAGTAATCTATTGATGTTTGGCGGGATTTGTATCCGGGACCTCAGGTTCCGAAGCCCCACGCTCTTCCACTAGACCAGCTCGCTCCTCCCTTCGTATTGATATTAGTCCATTAATAATAATCTAGCCAGGCTCAAAATTGCATCAACATAAATTAGGGATCCAAACACAAGTATCAAGTATATGAAAAACCCAGATTATATTTTAAGTTATTCTTTTGTACAGTACTGAGATAGGGAAAATTGTTGTTTCAGACAACAACAATTATAAGAACTACGATGTGATTGACGAAAATTGTTTTCACTCCGGCTCTTGACTCCCGACTGGCAGAAGCAACCTATATACATTCTCAAAAAAATTCGCCACCATGGCTGAGTTAAAATATTTCTTATGCATGTGAAAACTTAATTATTATTAAAAAACTAAACATATCATGCGTACTGCACTGCATGTTGTTTTATGCAGATTACCTAGAAATAGCATGATATCGGATGTTTATGTGATTTATTTATCAACAACTCCTCCCTTTATTTAAGCAGATCTCCCTGAAAAGCGTCGCTAATGAAAGGCCTACTGCTATTAAAGCCTCCAATTAAACCCCTACGATAGCTTCACAAATGTTGCAGACTGGCTTGGAGGATCTCTCCGATTGGCTAACAAATTGAGGATCAAATTAAATAGGATGAAATCTGTTCATACAACCTCTACAACAAGATTAAACAAGTGTCCTTTAGTAAACCTAAGTAGTGTTTTAAATCCCACAGAGCAATGAAGTAAATACTTGGCCATGACCCTTGACATATGACTTACTTGGAAAAGCCAATTTGGAACAAGAGAGATTCGTCTAATTTTAAATTTACACCCTTTCTTGGCTATTAAATAAAGGTTCAAAACTAACAACAGAGATAAATTGCTGTTATACAAAATTATTGAATTATTCTGAAACTCTCGGTGGCCTTACTGTATCTGACTTTGGGGAACATCCAGAGTGAATCAAATCTGAAAGTCATACAACGAGTCCTAAGTTCTAAGACAAATTCTCCAGGCGAGGCAACTTGGTTCGTCAATGACGAAGTACTTCACAGTCAAACCCCAACGATCAAAGAAAAAATGTCAAGGTTTAGTGCCTGATTACTTGGAGAAATTAGAAAACCATATGAACTACTTACCTGCTTTAGAATGTTTAGAGAATGCAGAAAAATCTTACATTCCTAATAAGTTACTCCAGCTGATCAAGAATATACTAGTGGTCGTCCAGTGGTCAAAAACTCGAACAAAAATATCTAATGTACAGACTTCTCTATTTTCACCTTACTCTGTAAATAAAACATGTGAATGGAATTCCTTCCATTTGTTTTGATTTTCTGTTTGTATTTAGTTATTACTAGCTGTAACCCGCGGGCTTTGCCCCGTTTAACTTCTTAATTTTCAAGATTATCTCGTTCGCATGGCTCAATCACGTCCTGGTTGAAGTTTGTTCGCTACGCTCACTCACCTTTAGGTTGGAGCTCGTTCGCTACGCTCACTCACCTTTAGGTTGGAGCTCGTTCGCTACGCTCACTCAGCTTTAGGTTGGAGCTCGTTCGCTGCGCTCACTTGCCTTCAGGTTAGCTCGTTCGCTACGCTAACTCGCCTCCAGGTTGAAGTTCGTTCGCTACTCTCACTCACCTTTTGGTTGCAAATTAGCTGTTGTCATAAATGTAAAAGAAATAATAGTGCTGCACCCTGTTGGTAATTTTTGTAACTTTAATGCTATTGAACATCACAGAACAGAACCAACTTGTTTAATTGAAACAGCTGTTAAGATTCAATAATTTCATTTCTCATAAGGTTAACATGGGAAACTCCAGAGCCACTGGGGCGGAGCCCGAAAGGATTTTTGAAATAAGAATATGCCTATATGTTAATCGGGAATGTGAGCTATCATCATGCCACATTTCAGCCCAATCCGACCAGTATGTTTCGCGTTCACTTGTCACAAACATACATCCATACATCCATACATCCATACATCCAAACTTTCTCATTTATAATATTAGTAGGATAATACTTACTTTAATCGCAACAAAAGCAGGCAAAATTAAGCGCCTCCCTGTGTGAAAGGTAGGCTTTAAGCTTAGTTTTTTGTTTGTTTTTGTTCCTTAAGAGGATAATGTGTAGTATGGACAAAACCATGGATAAAACCAAAAACATACCCGTTACATCTCTCATCCTTAAGGAACAGCTGAAGCCAATTTGATTGTTAGTTCTGTAAGGTGCACTGTAGAGGTCGTGTTTTGTTTACAATTTGTTTCTAGTTCATTCAACCATTTAAAACCTCATTTGACCAAGTAAAAACTATATATAATCATAAACAATAACTCTTACCCTAGTTAGTTACATAACCAAACAGTAAAAGCACAAATCTAGACTGGGACGGTGGCGTCGTCCTGTAATCCAGCTACTAGGAGGTCACGTCACGAATTGTGGATAGGCATGCACTGTGGGTGCGATGCTCCCTGGTGTGGATTAACGTATGCACTATTGATAACTGCGACTACCCGCAGTACTATCCTGATAATTAGACAAATTCGTTAATTACAAGGAAAAATGTGGTTCGGATTCCACTATATATATATATATATATATATATATATATATATATATATATATATATATGGTCACTTTTAGTTGCCATTAATTAACTCCTGTGTCTAAGGAACTTGTCGGCTTTAGTCACTAACAGGACTACAAGATCGCACCACTCATCCTACACTCATATTTGGGATAAAAATACGCACATATTGGCGTCCCCATCTTAAATAATCGATTGATTGATTGATACGTTAACCCTATAATAATAGAAACAAAATTTCGTCGACACTCAACCCAGTGCCACCGGACATCACAGTCACGAAAACGAGCTTCAAAATGTGCAATATGAAGAGAAGTCTGTATAACTCAGTATAAGTCTGCCATTGGCATAACTTCTGATAATTTAAATAAATAAAAATGTCTCCATTATTAGCCAGCGTTTTATAATAGCAGTTTTTTATACGTAAGTTTTTCATAAAAACTATTACCGGTACTATTAAACTACGACCTCCAACTATACATTTATATTTCTTTAGGAACTTTTCTAAATAAACTTTAAAGTGTTGCTGTTGAATGCCAAGGTTTTTAGGCTCAATTATGTGGGATCAGAACTCGGATTTTGTGGCTTTGATCTGAATCTAAAAATTGACATAGACCTAATTTTGAACACTGATGCTGTGAATTAATCATCGTTGGTAAAGTTTTACCATTTATTTTAAGCTTAATACCAGGAAACATGATATATATATATATATATTCTACGTTTTTCAATCAGTTAATTATGTTTTGTATTTACTCGGACGCAAAGCCTTTTATATGAATTTTTCATTTTTAGTTCATTCATAAGTTCATTTTTTTAGTCTGATATGAGTGATATGCACGAGTAGAAAAACTTAGCCAGGGCAACAATCCACCAAACCAATCTTTATATACATTTTTATGTGTACCAATCTGCTTTACCAGTAAGCTTCTTTGGCAGTTTTAAGCCTGCCTTATGGTTTTAAAAGCATCAGCTGGCTATTTCATAAATCAGGTGATAAGCGTTGTGTGTGGTGTTTGCAATGTTTGAGCAGACAGAACGAACAACGGGAGTGGAGTGGAGTGACTAGTGACTCGAACTGAACTGTCGAAGTTGAGCACTTGAGACTTGAGAGTTGAGCTTGAGCAGTGTTTTTCTGCTAATGTGAATTGTTTGGTTAGGTGTTGGCGCACTCACTTAATGTTATCTTTTAAGTGTTTTATGAGCTCATATTTCAACTGAACTGTAACTATTTCCAAAATACAGTTAGTCACGATACTTTTGAATATTCATTCGTCATGGACAGCTTAGTTGCTAAGTACTGTAAGTGAAACCTGAATTACTGTAGGTGGTCCTAGGTTCAAGGCCTCGATCCAAGGATAACCTCTTTCCTCACAATTAATTAGTCGATCTTTGATTTTCGAAGGAACTTGTGTTCGTTTACTGACATGGGATTACTATCAGAAGGAAGCCCATTGTCGTGGGAAAAAACTAAAGAGCTAGCAGAGCACGTGAGGAAACATGGAATAACGCAGTTTATCAACCTTTACCACCGGCTGAAAGATCGTCAAGGTGATATTTTAAAATGGGGTGATGAGGTAAGTGATGCTTAGTTTTTAAAACTAATTAATAATTTTGTGCACAGGAAACCTATTTGTTCTGTATCACAACTAGGCTAAGTTATAACTTGTATCATCATTACATAACTTAAATGAATGAGTTAGGGAATTTTCTCATCCTGATTACAACTAGGCTAAGATCATACCTTAGGATCTTTAAGTTGACTTAGGCTAAACCTAGGTCTGCAACAAATAAGTCTCAGGTCCTAAACTAAGTTTTTGTTGAGATTTTTATGTAGGCCTACCTACCTAACTTAATTATGGAGAGTTTTTCTTGTTGTTTGAACAGCCTGGATAAACTTTAGGCCTAAATTGTAAAGGTAAACTCATTTTTATTTCACAATTTTCTTGGGGATTCAATTTAACTTGTAGCCCAAATAATCTTCCACAAGACCACAGTATGGTAAGTTATTGATTGAGAATCTAGGCCTAAACTTAAGTGTTTGTTAATCAATTGTCATACAAAGTTCTAAAGCTGTTTTAGGCTACACTTTACTTTAGGTCCTACACTCATTCGAATGAAAATATCGATCGATATATCGATTATTCGATATATCGTTTGGTTAGTTAGGTAAGGTTAACCTAACCTGAACCGAATGAAACAATCGAACAATCGAAATTTTCATTCGGTTGTTTGTGTAGGACCTAAAGTAAAGTGCAGCCGCTGTTTTAATACTTTAATGTTAAAAGCTTGAGAATATTTAGGCTTTACTTTGAATTTGGGGACATCTGAATTTTTATCTCCTTGGAATTTCACTACCGGTACACACTTTATAAATTTCTAATGGACACAACCTATCCGGCATAGCTGGTCTTGGTGAAGAAGAAGGTAATAAGGTAATTTTACGATCAACAATGACGTACTAACTTAACCTGAGCGCTCTGAAGTTTTTCTTGGGCGGAATTTTACCCTTGTTGATTTGGGAGTCTAATGAAAATTGATATAGAGTGTAATGAATTAGATTAGCCACAAAAGTCAGAATTTTACCTTCAGCCCATATAAGTACCACTAACATAGGGTTCTAGACAAATATGTAGGTGATGTAAGTTCACTTATGGCCCGGATTTTATTCACACGTAGGCCTAAGTTTAAATTATCCCAGTAAGTTAGCTAAGTTATGTCGTCATTTTACTCTTCTGGAAATTTACTCCCTGTCCAGATACAAAAATTTGTGAGACATTTGTAGGCATACATAGCCTAAGTTAATAGGCTATGTGTAGTTTTAGAAAGGCCTTTATAGTTTTGCAGAATTAAATATTGATTAGTCTCCATGGCAGGATGAGAAAACTTACAATGTTTCCTACCTTTTTTATTAGCCAAAAAGCTATGGAAATTTAGTAAAAAAAAAAATTAGGCGCCTAAGCTTTATCTTTAGTTATTTTATGACTTTGTGGGTATTGGGTGAGGGGGGGGGGGTAATATTTCTAAATTGAAACATGAAATAGCGCTGTTTACTTCAGGAATGTAAAATGTATTGAGGATGAAAGTTTGGAGACCCTAGTATAGGCCTAAAGTACCTATCAACGTAGGCTAGTAAATCTAAATTCTGTCCTTCAATGGTGTCAGATTACAAATTTCTAAACTAAATTTTACATCAAAATTTTTGTTCTCGCATGCCAATACCCGACTTCACTCAGCGAATCACACACATTATCCATTTAAGTTAATTCATGCAAATAGGATGTTTTCCTTCTACTACTCTTCAGTCCAGACATTGATAATAACTTTTACTCGTTTCCTAAATTTAAAACTTTATTTTTATGATAGAGAGGAGCCCCAATTTTGTATCTACGAGTGGCTGAGGTCTGATTGGTAGAATTTCATGACAAAGGAATTATAAAGCTGGCCCACCAATATAATAAGTACCGGTACTTCAACCTGTTTCACGACTATTTACAAAAATAGTAGGGGCCTATAGGTAATCTTTCTCTTTTTAAATGTACCATATAGTACAATTTTTAAAATTCTTGTAAAAACTTTTCATTTTATTCCAAAATTGTCTTGTAGGAATTACTATAACATCTGCAAATTTCAAGGAACAGGCCTAGTGTGTGAGGTATCTCAGACCTCTGACTCTCACCAAACTAGGCCTACTTTTATACGAAAAGTAACACATCTCGAAGACATTTTTTTAAATCAAACAAAGTTATACCGGCGTGAAGTTGGCCCCACCATAATGAGCACAAATTATAAAAACATGTCCATAATTTAGTGCTGAATTTGTGCTTCTCAAAGGTATATATAAAAAAATTTGTGCTCAACAATAACACACGAAAAAATTATAAAAACTGTTGGCGGGGCTAATTTCATGTTCAGCCCGCCACCAAAGGAATTAATAATGTATTATACATAGAAATTTAGTGCTCATTTTGTGCTACAACAATATATAGTTTTTATAATTTGTGCTCTAAAAACATCCGAGGAAATGAGGAAAAACTGCCGCTGGTGATGACGTCATCCGCCCCGCCACATTGAACAAATCGGTTGAAAATGGTGTCATGATTTAGTGCTCATTTTGTGCTACAACAATATATAAGTTTTATAATTTATGCTCTTTAAACACCCGAGTAAATGAGGAAAAACTGCTGCCGGTCTGCCGGTGATGACGTCATCCGCCCCGCTACATTGAACAAATCTGTTGAAAATAGTGTCATGATTTAGTGTTCATTTTGTGCTACAACAATATATAAGTTTTATAATTTGTGCTCTTAAAACACCCGAGTAAATGAGGAAAAACTGCTGCCGGTGATGACGTCATCCGCCCCGCTACATTGAGCAAATCTGTTGAAAATAGTCACTTAGAAATTTCTTATTGAACACCCTATATTTTTATCACGTTTTTGGGTAGAAAATGCAATTTGAAAACTATTTTATTCTTAAATTTTTTTCCGTAAACCCACTCGTTTAGGAGTTACAGCCTATGAAAAAGAGACTTCCGGTACGTACATTTAACTTCATGTAGCCCCTAAACAAGAAGATTAGAGCAAAAATGTGAGGATTAAATACATCTTAAAATTGCATCTACAATCCCAAAAGAACATAAAATACACAGTTTTCCACTTTCCAAGTTTGCTGCCATATTTTTTTATTCTTAACATTTTTGCTCTAAACGTACTCGTTTAGGGGCTACATGATATGAAAAGTACACCGGAATTTTTTTTCATAGGCTGTAACTCCTAAACGAGTGGGTTTACGGAAAAAATGTCAGGTACAAAATAGTTTTTAAATTGCATTTTCTACCCGAGAACGTTATAAAATATAGGATGTTCCATAAGAAATATCTAAGTTGGCCACCATGTTGGAAAATGGTGGCCATTTACAAACATGACGTTTACTTATTTTTCAACATCTTTAAAAACAAGAGAATGTTCCCGATTTTAAGTTTACTGTAAGATGTATCCTTTACAAGATTCTAATGGTGGCTAAAACACCCTGTATACTGTATGAATTTAATCTAAAAGTGACTATTTTCAACCGATTTGCTCAATGTGGCGGGGCGGATGACGTCATCACCGGGGGCAGTTTTTTGGCATTTGCTCAGGTGTTTTTAGAGCACAAATTATACAAATTGTATATTGTTGTGGCACAAAATGAGCACTAAATCATGACACTATTTTCAACCAATTTGCTCAATGTGGCGGGGCGGATGACGTCATCACCGGCGGCAGTTTTTCCTCATTTACTCGGGTGTTTTAAGAGCACAAATTATAAAACTTATATATTGTTGTAGCACAAAATGAGCACTAAATCATGACACTATTTTCAACCGGTTTGTTCAATGTGGCGGGGCGGATGACGTCATCACCAGCGGCAGTTTTTCCTCATTTCCTCGGTTGTTTTTAGAGCACAAATTATAAAAACTATATATTGTTGTAGCACAAAATGAGCACTAAATTTCTATGTATAATACATTATTAATTCCTTTGGTGGCGGGCTGAACATGAAATTAGCCCCGCCAACAGTTTTTATAATTTTTTCGTGTGTTATTGTTGAGCACAAATTTTTTTATATATAGCCTACCTTTGAGATGCACAAATTCAGCACTAAATTATGGACATGTTTTTATAATTTTTGCTCATTATGGTGGGGCCAACTTCACGCGGGTACAAGTTATGGATGGTATGGAAATCTGTTCAGCAGTAATTAGTTTAAATTCAAGTTACTTTTTTATTACCTTTTAAAATATACTGTAGCGTCACTTAAAGTTTTTCTATCATATACAACCATACCTCTAATTTGGTTTTTATTCTGATATTTGTAAACAGAAATCATAAGTTTTGTCCTCTTTGAGTAAGTTAATTCATCTAGACACATCCTACAAAATCCAAATGAAAAAATCCGTCTGAATTTTATAGTTTTAGATGTAAATGTTTTAAAGCAAAGAAACATTGTTTTCAATTGTATCAGCTTATTTAAGCAGTTTGAGCTTTGCTGATATCAAGGTTTCAGTCAAGAGGAAATATTCGTTGTTATCTTGGCCTTGTTATCTGTGTCAAGTTTATGTTTTTAAGCACCTTAATTCTTTCTGAAGCTCTAAATACAAGTGATTCTAACTTTCTAATCTTAAAAGTCTGATTAAACTTTGCTGCAATACACAGCAACTCCGTCAGGTGTGATTTCACTGTCCGGGAAAAAGATGATTCCTAAATTAATTTTATTATTTATTGATTTAATGACAGAAAACCTTCTTAACAGACAAGAAAAACTATAAACAGGCCATTTTAACACTCCTAGATCTAGGCAATGTCCGATTATTTTATCTCCTAAAATGTTAATATTCTAAACAAAATTTTATTCACCAAGAATAATTTACAAAGTTTGTAAAATTTATAGCATACTACAAAGACTCCATACGGATAACCTTTTTGTCAAATTTTATCGCTTATCATTTTCTTTCTTCCTTTAATTGGGCGGCAGATTTTGTGTCCTCTCCTGTGTAATCTTAGGTCAAGAATTATCTATCAAGTCCAAATTTCTTGATTTTCTCTTTTTTTACAATGTGATAATGTATTACTTTGGGAGATATCAAATTACATCATAGATTTTGTTTTGCAAAATTAAACAGATTTTTTAATACTCTTGATATGACCTTTTTGTAATGTATTTTACTTTAAAAAATATAGCCTAGAGACAATTTTTTATTTCAATTTTTGAAATTTTTATGGTTATTATTCGTCAGCTTAACATAATCTACCATCTTTCAATAAAAAATAATCAACACATCTAAGAGTTTGGTTTAAATACAAACTTTGTTGGAATATTCACATATTTCTCAAATAAATTTTTTTTAATCTTTTACTAGGCTACAAAGTTATATAGGTACCTACATATAGAGTTGAGTCGACGTTCCTAGATCTTATTTTTGGACTCACCTACCAAGGCCGATTTTGGAAAACTTGTTTTTCTGCAGTTTTCACCAATCTTGAAGACTAAGTGTCTGTACTGAAAGTACTGCATATTTCTTTGCCACCAAAGAGCTATATTTGCATGTTTTCAACTTAATTAATCCGTAAAAAGTTTAGGGGCTTTTTATTACCTACCTAAGTTTTTTGCTCAATCATTTACACAAATATTAAGTGTCTTTATGGTTCGGTAGTTAGGTGCTTGAAATTGAGAGTCGCTATTGAAATAGCAAATAGCAATGCAGCTAGGAGTAGGTATTAAAAGCCACGTGTAAGTGAAAAGTATGGGAGGGATTGTTTAGATGCCTTGTGTAGCTACGTGATTTTTCGGTCAGGACTATTATTTTAATTATAATGATTAAAAAGGGTTGTAAACCTTAACAAATCTAAAACTTCCTTTCACACAGAGAAGTAAGATACGGAAGGGAAGATACAAGCTTATGTAAAAACTTTACGCATTTAGCTCTGGTATGGTGGGGTGGAAATGTATTCGTACCGTGCAAGAAAGAGTGCGAAGGTCGATGGCCACATAGCATTGTTATAGAGCAGTTTTTGCACACAGGGTCTTCCTACAGCGTGCGCTGTAGTACGTGATGGCAAGGGGGGAAAGGAGTGCGGATAGGGACGACGAATAGAATTTGCTCTAGTGACTGGTGATAGGCACCACTTAAGTGTACCATTGATTGAATGTTTCCTCTGTAGGCCTATTTACTTCTCTGTGTCTTTCAATAGCAACCACGATGACCATTCAGCAACTCACCTTTGGAACGCCTAAAGGACTTCAATGAGTTTAAATCAATTTCATTATATTAGAGCCTTTCATTATATTAGAATAGTTTTGTAAGAAAAAAGCCATGTGTAATAAGTTGGTGTGTTTCAGGTGGAATACATCATCGTCAAGTTTGACCATGACAAGAGGACCGCAAGGGCTAGCCTCAGAGCTAAGGACATTCTCAACACTCTCAACGAGAGAGAAGCAGCCAATCCTGAGTGAGTATTTCACTTTATTCGAAAACTGTGTAAATTTTGTTCTAAAACTGACTTGCTTTTAGTTCTTTTTATCGGTTTACTAAGTAACCACTTTTTTAGCTTTTTTTGATGTCAGTATGCATGAAAGAGCATGTTCTGCATACTTTACAACAATATCCAGTCAAACCTCCAGTAATAACCAGTAAATATCCAGTCAATAACCTGTCAAATTCTTTTTACCGTTCTTATTGTGATTAATGAACAATGCACTTCGTTGGCAGTGAGTCTAGTTGGGCTTCTCAAGCAATAAACGAGTAGAATGAATTAAAAGGTATTTTGTCCAACTTTAGATTAACAACGACAAAATGGTACTGAAACTTAGTGACACTCAAGATCTTTGGTTGTGTTCAAAACCCAGGTATCAGCAATACACACTATGAAAAATCAACACAACCGGATATTGTCTTGAGTAAACAACTCACCTAACTTGTGGTGAGTTAACAGGAATTGAAGCAAAAATATATTTTTAGTGGTGGTGAATTTACAGAAAAGGATCCAGCTTTCCTTCTAATCTAACGTAGACCTTCGACCTTTATTAAGAGTATTACTAAACTAAAACGGCTGAAAGCTATACTTGGCAAATGCTGCAAGCTGGAAGTTAAGTTTTGGACTACTATGAAACACTTGGGTTCTTTCCCCACCATGGTTGTAAGTGTAGACTAAGACTGATCAACAGTGGTGTGATCCAAGTGTAATAGTCTCCTAAATTGAAAGTTTGCGTTCTGGTACGATCAGGTATAAAGTGTAACTCTTGGAGAGTTCATTATATCTGTGGTTGAGCTTGGTGTGAGAAACCCACTGGAGATGATGGGATGGGTGAACTCTTTGTAAGCTGCATGTCAAATCAGGCGTTTTTGCCACTTTCCACCTAAATGTGTGTCCACCGTGAACTTATTTTGTGAATATTTTTATATTTGTGTTCATAAGATAAGGGAAAAAACAAGTTAGATAGGTAATTGTAAATGTTTTAAACAACACTTTGTGGTATCCAGATTATGCACATACAGATATGTTCTGTATACTGGTGCTTCTAAACTACTGTCATCTTTATGCACAACTCCTTATGCAGTATTGGTATTGATTATACCGTACCTCAACTGATAGTGTGTAAAATTTTAAACACTAAATACCAAAAAATTAATTCGGAACAAATAATTTGACTTGTTTTATACCAAATTATTACTGATATAAACTGATTAAACCCATAGTCAATTTTTGTTTTTATACTCCTCTTTCGACATGATCTTTAAAGGCTGTAATTTATATTCAAGGTTGTTGTAAAACGTAGTGTTTTTCCTTCCCTTGATGAAATATTAATACTTCACTGCAGCTGTTAACTCCTCTGTGGCTGCAAACATGCTTTGTCATGGTGCAATATTGATTTGTATTGACTAAGCCATTAGCCACTTCCCAGAAGGTCATTTTACTGACACAATTGTTTAGCAGGACTGTGTCATTATTTTACTTTTTTCTTTTCAAAACTTTGATAACTTGTGTCCTATGCTTTTTATTTATTAAAAATTTGATGCTAATTTATGTTGTGAATTTCTTCCAATACCAACAGCAATCAGTTAGAATTTATTCGATTTTTTCTTAGTTTAGAAAAAATGTTGCTCTATAAATGTTAAGTAAGACTCTAATCCATTAAAAAATAACCATGATTATTCCTTTTAGTCTCATTGATTAGAATTTACCATGTACGGAATAGTTTCTTTCTTCTATTTTGTGCACTTTTATCAAATTTCTCTATGGGAATGTAGCTGTTAGTGTAGCCTTTGTGGTAAAAACCATGTCCAGAAGTAAATATCATAACTTCTCCAATTTTGCTAAAACCAATTTTAGAATGAGTTACTAAACCCGCATAGATAGAAGAGGAGCTAAGAGACGGGCTTATCCCAACTCCGTGTGACTTAACATCTTATTATTGTTTTGTTACCAGCACTGTAAAGGCCCTGTGGAGGCCAGAGTATGGGTCGTACATGGTAGAAGGCACTCCTGGCAAGCCCTACGGAGGCCTCATATCTCACTTCAACATCGTAGAGGCAAACATGAAGTTCCGTAGAGAAGAGGTGGAACAGCTGTTGGAGCCTGGAGAGACCATCATGTCGCTTACGAGCTTTCCTAGGTGAGTGGCAATATATGTAGTTTTACCAAAGCTTAGTCAGTAGTTTGTGTGGTTGAATTATTGATACCATTGTTAATTGTGTATACTAATATGATACAAATATTTTACATTTCATGGCTTCCTAAACTTTGTCTATAGGCCTACATATCAAATAAAAAAGTCTTAATTTGGGTCAAAGTCATACCATCATGTCATTTATTTAGTGAATGAAAGTGTTATGTTATTTTTTAGTTTGTATAAGCGGTGTTGTCATTAAACTGCACTTTTTATTCCAACTAAAAAAAATTCTTAAATAATTGTTCTTTTTTACGTTTTACAACGTAAGTTCTCTGGTGTTTTCTTTTGTAATTTTTCAGCTTTGGAAGAGTTTGTGTTCTAATCTTGTTATGGTTAGATACTATATATACTATATGGTTAGATATACTTTCTCATCTGAAGGCAAGATCCACATCCCAAAACATTGCGAAAACTGAGTTTTTAAATTTTGGTAGAAAATGTTCACAACAATCCCCAAATAACAGTTGCAAAGTTATAATTAATTTTATGGAATTTGCACTTGAACCAAACATACCAAACACATACTAACTGAACAAGTGTTTTAAGTAACAACTCTTATTTGTTTGCAGACTAGGTTGTAAGGACTTTACGTTTCCCCTCTCCACTCCAGACCCACAGTCCGGAGCCTCCCGTTCCCTGTTTATCCCGGATGAGGTGATCTACACAGGACACCCAAGGTTCCGGACACTAACCAGGAACATCCGATGCAGGAGAGGGGAGAAAGTTGCTATCAACCTGCCTGGTGAGTTGATTGTTTTAAGCTTTTTTACACTGTTGACATTTTTTTTATTTTGCCTCAAGGATCGGTTTAGTTCCTTGTCTTGCTGATATTTAAAGTTGATCTATAGCTGCCTTTATATGAATCCAGAATCAACCCTGTAGGATCGAACTAGCAGTCTTTCTTAAGATTTGAACGAAGCACTTTAACCTACGGCAATATTTTCCCAGAAAAGAATGTTACAGTATTTTTTTTTTGTCCTAAGATGCTAGGCACGAGCCTGGGATTGTTTTTCAAATTACTTCAGGCTAGACCTAGGGGCTGCGGCATCATCACTTAGATAAAATCCATTGGTGACTTGGCGGGGATCGAACCCAGGACCTCAGGGACTGAAGTCCCGCGCTCTAACCACTACACCAGTTCGCTCCCCAATGTTACAGTATTAGGTAGAACAACTGTTAATACTCACTGGATCTTGATACTTTTCAAAACAATCCATAGATACAAGGCAATTAGCATAATCCTGACAAAAATTGATTGAATTTAAAATCCAGTTCTATTAAAAAAATGTTAAATCCTGAAAATCACAGTAACATGTTTACTATCCTATTAAACCTACGATGGCCTTGATCACTTGTTTTGCAAGTAACCATGACGTGAAAAATCAACTAGTGACTCAGCAAATTTGTGAAGTTTATTAAAACACTTAGGTTATCTCTGCAAATTCAATCAGTAATTTAATACTGTTTGTAAAGAAATAGAGTCTAGAACATTGTTATCTGATTATCTCAACAGAACACGTAGATTATTGGTGGCCTTTTGGGCTGATAAGCCTAACATTGATGGTTTGAGGCAGTCTCTACACTATCTTATCACCGAAGACACCATTACCATGCCCATGTCACTTATACTTTTAATGATACTTCTTTGTTGTAGATAACCACAGACCAAGAAGTAATATGGTGACTAGCAGTTTAGTGTTTTCTTTTTCTTTTTTAGTGAATTTTCCATTTAGGGAATAAGCTATTCCCTATAGCCTACCGGTACCGTAGGTTTGATATATTACCTGGCCCCGGGACCGATTTACTTTTTAGTTTTGAGGATGAGTAATTGCTTTATAAATCGTGCAGATGAGAATGATATGGGTCAATTAAGTTATTTATTTTGCTCAGTCATACAGTTAATTGAATTAAACCAGACTAGTATTAAAAAGGTTTGAAACTGTTGTTGTGTAACTGGGTATCTATAACCAATGCTGGGCGTCTAAAAGTTTTCTAAAGACTTTGAGATATTACATTACTCTCTTTCGCCCAATCATGTAGTACAGGTATTGCATCTAGTTATGTGATACTTAATAAAATATTTTACAACCTCAATAATTTCTCAACCATACAATGTGTGTAGAAGGATTTGAGCACTTGTAATGAGAGGCAGATAGTGGGTTTGCCTAGGATGGCCTTGGTTTTTCACAAGGCCAAACTCACAAGTAACCATGATAAGAGATATGAATCAACTAATGACTCGGCATTTGTACTTTTCAACTATAAGATATCCTGAACCTTATACATAATGTATTGGTTCAACTCTCAACTATTTGACAAATTGATAATAAACTATGTAGGTTTTCTGACAATTTAACAAATTTCTGTTTTTGTTAAATTAAGTCAATGTTGTTAAATCCTATCAACTAGGGATGGTCAAGTCTCGAAATTTCGGGAAATTTTCGGGAAATTTTAAATCTCGTTACACGAGACGAGATTTCTTTTTGGCCGAGATTTTTATCGAGACGAAAAAAAAAAAAAAAAAAATTAAAAACGCCTGCAGAAAGTCAATGCAATACCCGCAATACAGGAGCGTGTTGTAGTTGCGTTTCCTTTGCGAAGGCGTTCTTATTTAATTAATTCTTCAAATGTAAATATTACTTTAATTATTTTAATAATATTTGAGAAGTTTTGTTAAGTGTTAGCAGTGTGAGGAATGTTTTATTACTATAAAAAAAGTCAAAACAAGTAGGTAACTATTTTATAAAAATTAATATTTTATTTTATGATTTATTTTATTTTAGGATAAGTTGAACTCTATCCTAACTGATATCACTATGTTTCCTAATCGTAGGCATTTTTAATAAGTTAGGCGTGATTAATAAAAAATGTTATACTGATGTTTTTTATTAAAAGACTGTAAATATTCTTGCCTATTATCATTATTTTTGTATTTAAACAGTCATCTAACAATGTTACAAAATCAGGTAAAAATTCCGAACGTGCATTTCCCGTTGTGTATGAGAAGGGAAATCCCGTCTCGATCTCGTCTCGAAATTTTATGAGAAATAAAAAATCTCGTCTCGTCTCGTCTCGAACTAAAAATCCAATCTCGTCCATCCCTACTATCAACGGACCGAAGTCTAATGCGCTATGTTGCACTTGAATACTATTTTTTTTATTGTTAACATTTTGTTTCTGACAATCCAAACATAGCTATTGATTATTTTTACCTTACAATCTGTCGATGAAAGATTAACAGATTTCTAGGAGAATTTTAAAGATTTTTTTAAATGTTTTTAGGATATGTAAGAACATAATTTTTGTGATTACTTTTTAAAAGAATCATGATAAAAGATACTGAAAGTAGATTAATTGCATTCTATTGTAAAATATGAGCCTTTTTAATATGTGTTTTATGTCCAGTCATGTTTGACTACAGTAATAAAAACCACATTTTCCCACTATTTTAGTCAAAATTTTACAATGTTTTTTAAATAACAGTAGTTCTATTTGTTTATTGTGTTTTATTTACTTTATGCACCTGTTCCCCCCCCCCTCCCTCTCAAATCAAATGCCAACTGATGCCACAGAACTAACCTACCCCAGAATAATCTTCTTGGTGTGTGTAGTAAACAGAGATTTATGGTTTTTACAAAAGAATCATGCAAAATCAAGGGAATTTGTATTTTTTCAAGAAGTTAGCGGCCTTTCTTACCTAGTATTAGCCGTCCACATGGGCCACTAAGGCCTGTGTGTGGAATGTCTCCAGCAAGGCCTTGGAAGGTGAGCCAAGGGTGAACTGTACTTATAAAAAGTAGTGGCAAGTACTACTATCTGAACCCATGACATCGCTGCCTGAAGTCTGTGGCGCTAGCGACTGAGCTACCGAATCAACGTGAATAACTTATTGCTTGATAAACCACAATGGTTATCGGTTGCAGTGTTCAAGGATAAAAACACACCATCACCGTACATAGAGGACCTAAAGACTCTAGGAGACAGGGGAGAGTCACAGTCAGCTGCTCTGCCAGACCATGTCTACATTGACGCCATGGCGTTTGACATGGGCTGCTGCTGTTTACAGTTCATATGATACACCATAATGGTTATCTGTTACAGTGTTTAAGGATAAAAACACACCGTCTCCGTACATAGAGGACCTGAAGACTCTAGGAGACAGGGGAGGGTCACAGTCAGCTGCTCTGCCAGACCATGTCTACATGGATGCCATGGCGTTTGCCATGGGCTGCTGCTGTCTACAGGTCACATGATACACTATAATGGTTATCTGTAGTGATGTGTCAAAACCGAATCTCAAATCTCAAAACCATCAAAACTTAGGAAAAGTTTCGGTTTCGAGATTCGATCACAAAGTTTCGAGATTCAAAAGTTTCGAAATTGAAGATTTTGGCAGTTTTATTTTTGAAACTGCTGACATTTTTGTGTGCCATTGTTATTGTTTTTAACACTGTTTCCAAACAAGCTGGTAGCAACAGAGCAAACATTACCATTAACAGTAATGAAACAAGTAAATTTTATTCTGAACTTCAAAAGGTATATTAAATACTATAACTGGTACAATTCAGTTTCACATCAATATTTACTAAACGCAAATAAATATTGACCACTAAATGTTCTAATTAATTTAATATTCGTGCTTATGTTGGTGTTAGAAGTTTAATTATTTGTTTTGTTGGTTGTTAATGAAAAATTATGTTGTATTGGATTTAAAGATTATCAGTCACATTCACATTTTAAGTTTTGTCATGGTCAGGATTTGATCTCTTTCAGTTTTGATTGCATACTTAACATTTTATGATTATGTGTATTTTTTGTAACCTTGACCTTTGAAACCAGCTAAGTAAAAAAGTTTCGCGTTTAGGTTTTGAGATTCGGGATTCGATTTTTTAAAGTTTCGGTTTCGGTTTTGAGATTCGAAATTTCTGGTTTTGACCATCACTAGTTATCTGTTACAGTTTTTAAGGATAAAAATACATCGTCACCGTACATAGAGGACCTGAAGGCTCTAGGAGACAGGGGAGGGTCACAGTCAGCTGCTCTGCCAGACCATGTCTACATTGACGCCATGGCGTTTGACATGGGCTGCTGCTGTCTACAGCTCACATGATACACCATAATGGTTATCTGTTACAGTTTTTAAGGATAAAAACACACCGTCACCGTACATAGAGGACCTGAAGGCTTTAGGAGACAGGGGCGAGTCACAGTCAGCTGCTTTGCCAGACCATGTCTACATGGACGCCATGGCGTTTGGCATGGGCTGCTGCTGTCTACAGCTCACATTCCAGGTTAATACTTGCTTCTAACACTGTCAGATTGAAATAACTAATGACCAAGATAGGATTGAATGCCTTAACCTTTGTTACCTTTTTTGCATTCCAGATGCTTAGCTATTTAAGAGGTTGTGGTTCAATATGCCACTCATAGTCTGTAAAGGATTGATTTTCTCCTTTAATTTTTTAACCTTATAAATCCCAAAGTTACAGATTCTGTACAACAGAGGAATACTTATGTCCATGAGGCTTTGGATCAAATCCTAACAATCGCCAATGGCTTTTAGCTCTGTAATAATGCCTTGGACATGGTGGTTTGGATCCCACTCTAAGGTATAAATACACCAACCTTTGTAAAAAAAGGAGTATGTCACTTCAAGTGAACATAAGAAAGAATAATAAAGCAAAAAATATAGTTCTCAGGCCAAGAGAACTTTTGTGTATTGGAGAACTCCTTCTCAAACAGTGTTGAAGTATTTGTATTCAGTACAGTAGACTCTCAGTAATGCGGCAGATATAGGACCATGATACTGCCTGATTAGTGAAAATTTTGGATTACTTGAATTGAAATGTCATCAATAAAAACACATAAAAATACACAATTGCGACCACGGAAGACCACTGTCAAAAGACGCCAGATTACTGGAGTGGCGCAGAGCCAGATTATAGAGGGTCTACTGTAGTTTTTTTTTAGAAGGGTTACTCTAGTTTTCCAAGTAGAGTTTTTGTCTATGAAGAACTAACGACTTATTCTTTTCAGGCTTGTAACATAAAAGAGGCAAGAATTTTGTACGACCAGTTGACCCCTCTATGCCCAATTTTGGTAAGAGATATTCACCAAAATAGTAAATACACAAACCTGCTATAGCTCGTGCGTTTCCTGGTGAAGCCTGGGGGTAGGGTTGTAGCCCCTACAAAACCGATTCTGAACCACTCTAACCACCTACCCCCAGGCTTCACCAGGAAACGTACGAGCTTTACTTTCTCCTGTTGATCCATTCAGTGTGTTTGTTTTCAAATTTTACTAATAGTTTTTAACTACTGGAGACTATCATGTAACAAGGAATATTCTAGATGGCTCATTAGCTATAATTTGAGGCACTCTTGAGTCTTGTCATATTTTAACCAGGTTAATCACTTGAAAAACAATTTATCATACCAACCTAAAAAACCAAATCATTTGAGTATATTTTTAGCTAGGTTAGATTCAGGATGATTAATAAGGTTTATAAATTTATCTTACATTAATTTGCTTTCATTAGGTTCCAAATTGAGTACTACACCAGCATATTCCAGCTATACAGCAACGATAAAAAAATTAAAGATTTATTTTATAAATTCTTTACTTAAGGAGTTTGCAATACCCAACCAAGACTTTATTTTCCCTGATTTAGCTTGCTCTCACCGCAGCGTCGCCTGTTCACCGAGGAATGTTGACAAACGTTGATTGTCGCTGGGCCGTTATCTCTGGCTCTGTGGACTGTCGGACGCGCGAGGAACGCGGCCTTGAGCCTCTCAAACACAACAAGTTTGTCATACCCAAGTCTCGATATGACTCCATCGACTCATATCTCTCTGAGCAGGGTGAAAAGTAAGTTCAGTAGAATGGAACTGAGAAATGAATAAATAATAAAAGCTTTCTTTATGATTACCAATTAAAAATTCTTTGTTGGATTCTGGACGCTGTTTGATGCCAATGTTTTAGAGACATTAACATCTTCCACTATCAGGATTTTGCCGATGTTTTGGAGACATCACAAGTTTTTGCCCTCAAGGCTTTGAGAGTGACAACAAACTCTGCACCACTATACTGTCACAAAAACGTCTACATCCTTAGCAAATTTCTGTCAAAATACTCTAAAATTTCAGTCAAGACAAATGTAAAGGAAAACTTATTGTAATCTGTATCATATTTATGTCGCAGAAATCATGACGGTTTGAACAAATAAGAGATAAAGTAGAATTTTACTGTAGCACACTATTGAGTGGCTCATTCAACTGATCAACCATTTTATATTTGGTTCAAACAAATTGACCACTGCTGGTACACATATGTGAAATTACTGATTATTTTCATCCTGCTTTATTCTGATTGGAATAGCAGTATTTAATTAGTTGCTTATGTTACCAGATACAACGATGTGCCTCTTATCTACGACCCAGCCATCTATCAGCAACTGAGGGATGCTGACATTGACCATCTGTTGGCTCAGCATGTCGCTCATCTGTTTATAAGAGACACTGTCAGTCTGTTCAGTGAGAAGGTGAACCAAAACGATGATGTTGATACCGATCACTTTGAGGTTAGTCAGAAGCAGCATTGACCTTCCTTATTGCTAGTAGACTTATCATAATATGTTCTCAAGAGATTTAACAGTTAAGGCCGTGCTTTAAAGTTAATCCTGGGATTTTACATTTCTCACAGCGACAACGTTCTTTGTAACTATTGATACTTATAGGGCCAATAGCAAAACTTAGACCATATCTTGTACATATTATATTTGTATTTTATTTTGTAGTTTTAAAGTTGATTGGATAAATTCAATTGTGTTTAAATAAAAAACACATTCTATTTATAGCAGTCTGTGTTTTTAGTATTAATCATCCCTTCCTAGACTCGTCAGGTTTCATGCCTAGCCACTTGTTGTAGCAAAGTTTTATGCAGCCTACCATGTAAATTTTCATTCACAACTAAACACATTTTCAGAACATACAGTCGACCAACTGGCAGACGATGAGGTTCAAGCCGCCACCGCCCAACTCCACTATTGGATGGCGTGTGGAGTTCCGTCCGTGCGAAGTGCAGCTGACGGACTTTGAAAACGCAGCCATTGTGTGCTTTGTGGTTCTCCTCACCAGGGTCATCCTCTCGTACCAGCTCAACTTCATCATACCCATCAGCAAGGTAAGAGCCAAAACAAAAAAAGAAGGTTAGAGTCGATAAGAGCGTTAGTGTTTAAAAGGTGTTTTTAAATTAATCAACACCAGGAGTTGTGTTAAATGTCTTGAAAGGAGAATCTTATGTTTTCTTAGGACTTTCCATGATTTTATACCATCCAGCATTTGATCGGAAACTAAAAAGCTACCCTTACCTGATTTTTCAAGTCGCAGGTTTATTTAGTGTTTCCCAAAATGAAATCAGAAATTCTGTAATTGCTAGTAAAAGCTCATCTTTCACTAAACACCCTAAATTCGGGTGAAAATCCAATCATCCGAATGTTTGACTATCCTGACGTTTTAGGGTCCAAATTGATTTAGTTAGTGAAGTTTTACTGATGACACTTAAATATAAACTAGCCAAACTGGATAAAACTAATCATACAACAATGGTTCTCAGCTGATTCATAAGGATGATTATAAAGGATAAAGTGTATGGTTCCAGGTTGATGAGAACATGTCCAGGGCCCAGAAGAACAATGCACTGAACGAGGAAGTGTTCCACTTCCGCAAGGATATCACTACGCAGGAGACACCCCCTCAGCCCAAGGCTCAGTGTCAGAGTGCCAAATGTGGTTCCAACTGTGCGCCTGTCTACACGGCCATGTCCATCGACCAGATCGTCAATGGCAAGGTAACAGTCAATTCCCTATTGTCATCATTTTGACTGTCAATATCTGTGTGAAATAAGTTTACTTTTGTCAACTAGGACGCCTGTGGTGTTCTAAATTCAATTGTAATGGGGCTGGTCTGCTGTTTGAAGTGGGCCTTCTATCACCAGTGGTTTTAAGCTATGTGATCCCACAAAACTATGGTTCTGAGTTCACCTATCTACATAATAAGTCCAGCATGAAACTGTACTGGAAAAAAATAGGAAGCTAATATTAAGGCCTAAATTTGTAAACCAGGTTTTCCAAAGAACGAACTTTAACTAACGATGAAATTTTAATTTACCACTAAGTGATGGTTTAACACGTTCGCTACTGAGCGTCGCATATATGCGACGCCGCGGTCATTGCCACAGACCGAGGTATACATTTGAATCTTACACATAGACCGGCTGTCACTTGGATAACAGTACACACAGACCACGGACGAAAACTTGTAAAACAGTGATCATTTACATTGTAATACGCTACAATCGTGTTTGTAAATAAATTATTCTTGTTTTTTTGTATTTTTTATAACCTTTAGTAATGTCGCATATTTGCGACGCCCGGTCTACAGCGAAGACAATAGTGAAAATTATCATAGTTTTCTTGAAATAGACTAAACGTCGCATATATGCGACAGTACATTTTTTGTGTTTTAAGGTGAAAGTAAGTAAAAAAAAAACAGATTATTCAAGAACAGTTCATAACTGAACAAATATAAAAGCTACATAGGATAATGCAGCATACATACATACAGTGATGCAGAAAAGTAAATACCAGTTTTCCAACTATTATATGACGTCACCAATCATCATATCCACAGACCAAGCGACGCAGTTGTGCGTCAGACATCTCTGTAGACCACTGCAGGGAATTCAGTGCCTTCAATTAGACCACTACAAAGATATAAGCACTTTAATAACATTAGAACCCCGACGCAAATATGCGTCGGCAGTCTATTTTAATGTGACTAGCCGTCGCATATATGCGACGGCAGTCTATGGGTGGAAACCGGCCGTCGCATATGTGCGTTGCTGGTCCATGTGAATGGAAAATTTCGTACTATTGCAGTAGCGAACGTGTTAAACCAGGATCTTTGAATCTCAAAACAAAACCGAAACATGAACATTCAAATCCTGAATCTCAAAACCTAAGGTAAAAAAAGGTGCTGATAATAGTAAAATGTTCGTTATGTTATGAAAACTATAAAAGAAATTAAACTAGCATTTAATTAGTAAAGATGACAGGAGGCTTGTGGTCTCGGCATGAAACTTGCGGCATATTTTCTTTTTAATAATACGCCAAATGAAAAGTCATCAGTTTCCGTTTGAGTTTTAATCTCGAAACTTGCTAATCAATTAAGCCGAAAATATTCCAAAGTTTTGGGTTTTTTTTTAGATTTAAGATTCGGTATTTACACATTACTAGACATCTATAATAAAGGAAAAGTATGAAAGTAGCCTATTTTGATGATCGATGCAGTTACTATTATCTACAAAGCTAACTGTTGTCGTATATTCTGTGAAGCTTTGACAGTTTTCTTTTTTTGTAGAAAGGCGAGTTCCCGGGCTTGATCCCGCTGATTGAGAGTTACCTGAGTGGCATGGACGTAGACGCTGACACCCACTGTACGATACAGCAGTACCTGAAGCTGATACAACGACGTGCATCTGGGGAGCTGCTTACGACGGCCGCGTGGATCCGCAACTTTGTCACCACACATCCAGACTACAAGTCAGTAGACTTCTACGCATAGAACATTGCCATTTGCCATCTTGACATTCAATTGCCATATTAACATTGCAGCCCCCTAGTTTTGGAATAAAAATTTACAAAGTTCAATTGAGCCATTGTCGCAGTGTGTTGATGTATAATAATTATAATTCCTGTCTAAATTATTTTTGGAAGCAAAACTGAAAGGACAACTTATTGCAATATCATTTTAATGTAACATAAAAGGTCTTGGTATCAAGAAGTATGGGAGAAAACAAATTCAGGCTGAACACACTTTTGTGAATGGACCATTCATGTTCTTTTTTTATGGTTTTTATAGCTGGTCTGTAGGTCTGATCTGTGGATGTGTGATGTCTTCTTCAATCAAATATGAATAGTGCAATAGTAGACTTCTATTCCTATTGTACAACTATGTAGCATGTTTCTGTCTGCGATTCACAATAGGAACATTTGAGTGCTCTAATGTCAACCTGATTTGTCTCTCTTATTTTAGATAGATTTTAATTTTTTCTTTAATTTTTGTTATAAAATTTTTTCTTTACTTTTTGTTATAATACCAGAAGCTAACAAATGGCAAATATCTACAGAACCACCACAACCTCAAAATTAAAATCGAGTTCATGTAAATTTCTTAGGGAATATGTTAAATCTATAACCAAACGTTCTTTGATGTGTGTAATGAATACACCAGAACACGTATTTCATTATAATGTAGTAAAAACATAAACAAAATGAAATCTAAAATAGTAATATTACTAGTGGAAGTAATACATAATCTTCTTTACTTACTGAAGTGGAGATAGCACTGAATGAGAGAATCGCAAGACAATGGCCGCCATTTGTACTAAGGGTAAAGTACATTGTAACTAAGGGGATAGGGGACTAGCAGAGTTGCTGTGAAAGTGCTACCCCTAGTTGTATTTCTAGCTCCATGTCTTGTCTTTACTCTAAAGGGTTGTAAAAACTCTTTGAATGAGTAGGATCTATTTTGAAAACAGATAGAGTTATTCTAGTTTACCTGAGAAATAGTCCAACAGCTAACAGATTCACAATAAACGGTCACAAAACAGCGACTACTCTCTATGGAGATGTCCTTAAAACAAAATAGGCTAACAGTGTTATGTATTGGGACTACATTTTATCAAGTATGCAATAGCCATTGGACTCTAAATTTCTCAGGTTATTTTGCTGAACGCTATCCATTTTAAAATAATTTCATATTTGCCACTAACTTTCTTTAAAGGATTAGCTTTAACTATTATTTTCACCACACTATGATGTTATTATCTGTTTTACATACGTTAATTAGAGCCTTAAAGTTAGGTTTTTCTGGCCATGCCAGCTGTCATTGTCCTTTGGGGACCGAGCAGGTTTATACATCCCTAGGGCCGCAAAATCAGCTGCCCGCTTGCATATTAAATACACAAACAGTATCGGGTCTGACTTAGGGGAGGTACGATTGAGGCATTAGTTCAAAATTCCTCCGTGAACAGCACTGTAGTAGAGAGCATTTTGGCAATGAAGATTTACTAATCCCAAAAATAGTTCTGTTCATAAAATAAAATTATAAATGCCTCAAATTCAATTTTATAATTTTTTTTATTATAAAATTACTATCATAACCTAACCGAACTAACCAAACTTGCTGATAATGAAATAATATAAAAAAGGTTTATTAATAGAAAAAATTATTCTGTTCATTAAATAAAACTAGAAATTGCTCAATTAAAATTTTATAATGACTTAATAATAAAATTAAACTGTCATAACCGAACCAAACCAACCAAACTTGCTGATAATGAAAAAATCTTAGTAAAAAAGTTAGAGCCACCAGCGAGATTCGAACCCGGGACTCTCAGCATATCAGCCCGGCACGCTAACCACTAGACCACCGCTCGAGGCCGATGGATGCAAACTGTGTTGTTACGGTAATGGTGTTCCCTCAGCTAATGAGAAGCTCACAGCTGTCATCGTAAGCTCATCTATACCTCCCCTGAGTAAATACCAACAGTATCCATAGCATTGAAATAGAATTGTTTTATTTTCACCGTTGCCTAGCAACTGTTTATTATTATTTTTGCTGATTCCTGAAATTACTTCTTCACATAACCTTAAAGTTGCGTTGACTATCAGTGTGCATTAATTATTACTAGTGGTCTTCCTGTGGTCGAAACTCGACCAAAAATAATTAATGTACAGACTTCTCTATTTTCTCCCCACACTGTAAATAAAACATGTGATTGGGATTTCTTCCATTTGTTTTGATTTTCTGTTTACATTTTGTTGTTATTTCGTCACCATCATGGCAACCCAGTTGGTCCATGTTAATGTTTTGAAGTTTTCAAATTCGTTTTTTGTGCTTATTTTTTAGCCTATTTTAATTTATAAAGGGATTCTGCACATCTACAGGCAAATATCTTTCTAACAGTATGCGTAGATTTCCCCTGCGATGCACACGAGCTGAGAAAAAAGGTTTTAAAGAAACATGCTTGCCTATTAATATATAGATAGATTGTGAATAGTAGTAGTGTGGTGAAAAATAGTGTTCGTACCACGGACCAAAAATGGCAGCTCTCGATCGCTTTAAGAAGTCGAGAACTTAAAAACTATCTCGAACTGGCAAAACCTCATCTTCGGTCCTAGGTACGAAATATACTATTGTGTTTTCATTTCCTCTCTAAAATGATAAACATTCAAAATACAGAGGTAGTTTAAACGTATTATTAAAAATCATAAAAAAATGAATCACTCCATCATGAGTAACTCTTACAACCCTGAGTAAATCTGTTACTTCATCTGTTGATAGACAAGACTCTGTGGTATCGGAGAGTATAAACTACGACTTGTTGAGAAAAGCAGCCGACATTCAGTCTGGCAAGACACCCTGTCCAGAGCTTCTGGGTCACTCTGTGGTGAGCAAGACGCAGGAGTCCATACCATCGGCCGTGGAGAAAATCTACCCGTGTTTATAGTTAAGGTAAGACTAAAAATGATGTAGGAAATAGTTATTTGTGAAACTAGTGAGAAAAGTGAGCAATTGACTCACTCGAGAGAAATCCTTCCTCACGAGCCGTAGGCGAGTCTCTTACTCGAGTCTCTTACTTTGAACTCGAGTTGCACATTATACTTTTCCTACAGTTACCATAAAACAAATAAATTGATAAAGAAACATAACCTATTTTTACACAGAAGTGAACTTTTAATTTAACATTTAATGTGAAGTGACAAATACAACAGTACAACAGCTGACCAGCTGATTTACAGCCAGTGCTGCCAACGTATTTCGCGCGCATACGACGTTGCCAACAAGTTACGCGCTCACTATTTCGTGCCTTCAAGTTGCAAATCTGGAGTGAGACAAAGTAATTAGAGTGAGACAATGTTAACATTGTCTCACTGATGAGCGAATTGGCCACTTTGCTCTCTCAAATCAGTGAGAGAACATGTACATTGTTAGGTAACTGTAGGAAAAATTAATATTTTATCTCTATTTATCTTTATATCTTTCTTTATATCTTTTTATCTATTTTATCTTTTATATCTCTTTTTTACCTACCATGCATCCAGCTTGGGTAGCTCTTTATCTGAACTACTGTACTTAAGCTTTACATGGATGTAGTGGTAGTGGATTTTTGTGCCTTATTAACTAGAAGCAAAAATTAAAGTATGGTAGTGAAAATGATATTATTTGACAATTATGCCTTGAATAAAGGGTAATTAGTTGAGTTTCCTGTTTGTTTATCGTGTATCTAACAGCTTGTAGACTCTGATTGGTTTAATTGTTTCAGTTGAAGCTGTAAGCAGTATTGCTGCCTTCTGTATTCCATGTATGCGAGTGGTAAATGTATTCCACATGTATTATAATCACATTACCAGTTATAGCATTTTAAATCATGTTTTGTTTGTTGTTTCCATGTTTGTCAATATTTATTTCAGATAAATTAAAGTTATCACTTTTTTTGTTGGAACACCACTTACATTGTAAATTGTATTAAGTTTAAATTTTATAAGAAATATTTATTTTATTTTACACTTGTTGAAATTTACTGTACTTATATAAAAGAAGCTTTAGTAGGATTAAGAATTTATTTTTTAAATGTTAGAGTTGTTAAAACAACATGAATAAGGAAGTCTGTAATGAAACCCATCAATTATTTTATACTACGATTTCAAAACTATATCAAAGAATTTGTGAAAGTAAACATAATTTTACATCAGGTTTTGAATAATAACTGTCTTAAAACAATATTGTTTCTTTTATTCTAACAATCAATAACTTTTTTTATCAGTTATCTCAGGTAGTCGTTGCTGACATTCCAAGTAATCAACTTTGGTTTTTGTATCAGAATGAACAAAGATGATTTTTTTGTAATATTGTTCACACACATGTATACCGTTGATTATATTTCTTTTAATTTTTTACCAATCATTTAGACCAATGGTGCTAGTAGTGTATAGTCGTTGTTATGTATTTAATACATTTTTATAATCTGATTGAGAATATAAGAATGTTTTAGCTGAATGTTTTTTATTGTTTGACCTTTACCAAAACCACTTACCTCTCAGCAGTACCTTACCACTTTGGATTCGAATTAAAATTGGTATTCCTCCTATAAAATTCACTTACATGTCTTGGTATACCAAGGATAAACATATACAGGGTGATTGATATAAGTGTGCCAGCCGTTTTATTCGAAAACCATAAGAGATATCAAAAAAAGTTAAATGGTAAGTGCCTTGGACTTCTTATTTAAAAAATTGTAGTAAAGTCAAAAAAATTATTTTAAACGCCATTTTTCCAATATGGCCGCCAACTTTGATTTTTATTATGGAACACTCTGTATTTTATGATGTATTCTGGTATAAAATGTGATTTTAAGACGATTTTATTCTTGTGATTTTTTTCATAAACCTAACCGTTTCAAAGATAATAAAAGTTTAAGTTGTGAAATTTTGAATGGTTTTCGAATAAAACAGCTGGCATGCTTGCTTAGGCCTTTGTCGAAACTCTTTCTCATGCAGAAATTTCAAAACTTTAACCATTATTATTTTTGAAACGGTTAGGTTTATGAAAAAATTACAAGAATAAAATCGTCTTAAAATTACATTTTCTACCGGAATAGGCTACATCATAAAATACAGGGTGTTCCATAAGAAAAATCAAAGTTGGCGGCCATATTGGAAAAATGGCGGCTAAAATAATTTTTTTGACTTGACTACAATTTTTAAAATAAAAAATCCAAGGCACTTACCATTTAACTTTTTTTGATATCTCTTATAGTTTCCGAATAAAACGGCTGGCACACTTATATCAATCACCCTGTATATATTTAAGATTATCTTAAGCTGATAAATAAGGCTAACAAAACTATAACAGATTTTTGTTAGTAAAAGAACAAGAACAAAACAACCTTAACGAAAGAATTGAAACACATTTCACTGTCACCGCACAAACGGGTGTGTGGAAATTGTAAAATCTAGGTTAGTTTAGAGAAAAAATATCTAAAACACAAAAATATGGAAAACTATGTGTTTCTATTGGGACACTTAGTCGTTTATCATGCTTATGTGGTGTCTGTATTAAGATATGGCATAATTTTATGGGGTCAAGCTACTGGTATAAAATCTATATTCAGGTTATAAAAACTGATTATTCGCATTATCACCAACTCTCATCCATGCAGTTCTTGTGAGACATTTTCAAAACTTCAAAATTTAGACATTAACGGGGTTGTATATTCTAGAATTATTAAATTACATACATTCAGTTAAAAATGAGCTACCAGAAACAATACATTTTATTTTAACCACAGGTATGAAAATATATTCAGACTACCCAGACACCGTTTGAACCTATATGAAAAATCTCTATTGTATGCTGGGCTGAGATTGTACAATGTGCAATAATTGTGGATATTTATAGGCATGCACTGTGGATGCGATACTCCCTTGTGTGGATTAACGTCCGCACAAGTGAATACTACGACTATCTGCAGTACTATCCTGATAATTAGACCAATTCGTATATACCAAGGAAAATATGTGGTTTGGATTCCACTGTAAACTGTAGGTCCCTTAGTTGCCATTAGCTGTAAGGGCTATTAATATCAGCTGTGTCTAAGGAATGTCGGCCTTAGTAACTAACAAGACTACAAGATCGCGCCACTCATCCTACATCTCCATTCTTACTTGGCTTAAAATACCTACTTTGTATGGTTGCCATTTAATACTGTTAATACTGTTTAATGAAATGGCGACCATACATAAGAAAGTAATAATTAATAAGAAAGTATTAAAGTATATTAAAGTGCTTTCACCATTTACAAGTGATTAAACAAAACCAAATTTAAAGAGACAATAAATAATTTACTTATTGATGAGGACAAGGCTTTTTACTTAATTAAAGATGTTTACAGAACTATAATTTAGAATGTTTTTTACTTTATTTGTATTTTAAGTGTTTAATTTTAAGTTTATTTTAAATGTTATAACTTAATTGTTTTATGTATGGACTTAATTTTGACAATGCACCTCTTCTAAATGTTATGACATGTATGGAATGTTTTGTGCTGCAAATAAAGTATGTCTATGTCATCCTCAGCTTTTCTGTAAGGCCGACCGATCACAACTGATTGGAGCCGGTTATTGAACTGATTATTGAAAACAGCCGGTAAAACCAGTAAAAAGGACGGCAATGTTTTGACAATGACCAGTCAAAGCAATGTCTGTTTGAAAGGTAATAAAGGTGATCTTCTTATTAGAGGGAGGTCATTGTATCTGATTATGTTTTAAAACACTATTAATTGTTTTTTCCAAATTTAATTACCTAGGGATTATTTACTGAACTTAACAAATAATTTGGTCAACATACCTTTTTAATATTTATTAAATGGGTACAGAAACTAAATTAATTTTATGCAACTAGAAAATGACACTATGAACATGACACAAAGATATCTGATAATAAACTGAAAGAAATTACATAAATAATTTAACCTAAAGGTTTCCAATCCTGTACAATGCATTAAACTACTGAACTAACCTCTTGTTTAAGTTAATTACTAGAAATCAAATTAATTATTTCTTTTAAATTAAAATTAATGTTTAGAAAACGTTTAACTCTGACACTATAACCAAGACTAAATTTTAAGTTTAACAATAACAGTTAGCTATTTAATCCCATGGTCACCAAAATGCCTAATTGCAATTACCTAAAAGAAAATATCATTTAGAAAGAAGAGTAATTATCTAAAAGAAAATATCCCTTAGGAAGAAGAGTAATTACCTAAAAGAAAATATCACTTAGGAAGAAGAGTAATTACCTAAAAGAAAATATCACTTAGAAGGAAGAAAAACCAAATGAATAACAACAAAAAACCTACAGCAACTAAAAGGCTCTAGTTGCACCACTTCTTTTAATGTTGGTTTCTTGAACTTGTTTCCCTGAAAAAAAAAACATTTTAATTAGAGCAGTTTTAAATTTGTTTCACTTTTGTAGTATGCACTAAACTTTAAATATTTAATCATAATTATATTGACTCCTCAACTTAAGAACACAAATACCTCGTTCGCTGTGCGCTAACAGACAGTAAGCTGAGTCCATTGACGGGAGGAGTGAGTCCCGGCCGATACATTTTCTGACTGCTTGATCTGCCACTGACACGGCTACTGTAACAAAACTTTGTACATTTAACACAAAAATTATGATAAAAGTTGTCCAGATAAGTGGAAAATCTTCCATAACTGCATTCTGATAAAATAGAATTATGAGCCTACATCCTAGAATGTGAAGGTGGGACATAATAAAAACATACCGGTAACTTTGATTGGAAGCCACAGAGATTGGTGAAGTACTTCCATCTGACATTGGTGTTGATGGGGTGTTGATATTTCTGTAACATAAATATTACAAATAAATCTCCTTATATTGAACACTATTTTTTATAAAACTTGCTGGCTTTAAAAAAAATTAAAAAGACAAATCTATATCCTACTAATATTATAAATGAGAAAGTTTGGATGTATGGATGTATGTTTGTGAGAAGTAAACGCGAAAAATACTGGTCGGATTGGGCTGAAATTTGGCATGATGATAGCTCACATTCCCGATTAACATATAGGCATATTCTTATTTCAAAAATCCTTTCGGGCTCCGCCCCAGTGGCTCTGCAGTTTCCCATGTTAACCTTATGAGTATTCATATTTAAAGGAAATTAAAGAAACTTAGCCAGCTGTTTCAACTAAAAGAGTTGGTTCTATGATATGCAAAAGCATTAAAAAGTTATAAGATTTACCAATAGGGTAAATTTAAAGAAACAAATTTTATCAAACTGTGTCCTCCCCCATTGTCAAACGCAAAGATTGAGTACAACTTAAGCATTTTATACTTATATTATATGTCAACCCCGTACGAAGGACGGGTACTCTGCTAGTTTATGATAAATTGAAGGCATTCTTACTTGACCTTGCACCTTACAATATAGAAGATTTCAGTAATTTCAATTTTAAATTTGTAAGTGTTTCTTATTGCGTATTGCCATTGCCAATGTAGGTAGTAAGTAACAATAGACATGACACTATTCATGTATATACATTGTGTAATGATATGATGAATAAATGCTTTTTGAATCTTGAATCTTATCTACAAATATATAACCATTGATCTTGTCTAATCTATCAGGTAATATTTTTTACTAATCTAATACCAACCAAGGTAAAAAAATCAAGACTTGATTTTGAGACCTCAAGGCTTACTTAGTTGTATAATGAGCTAAGTGGGCGTAATTTTGTGATATCAATAATTTTTTAGGGGGAGAATTGAAACGTCTAAGAAATAAATTCCATACATTCAAACGCAGATTATTATTTTTTTTACTTTTATATTAAACTAGCCACCATACCCGTGCTTCGCAACAGGAAGAGAACGCTTAAGAGAATAATTATTATTCCATAGATCTGCTGTATGTAGCTTTTATTAATCCACTAAAAGTATTAACTTAAATTATTAACTGGCTACTTCCGTTTCCCAGACATCATTTTTTGGGAAATAAACCATACAAATTGTAAGGTTTTTATAAACATTTTAGAAAAAAAAGTCAATACAGTATAATGAATTACGCACTTAAAAAATAAAACTTCTTATTTACACACTATCACAAATTATTCATTAAATTCAAAACATAAACATACCCCGTTGGTACATTTTTTAACCTTTGAATGATATTGATCATCACAGAATCAAATTGTTAAGTTGAGACAGTTGTTATGATTCTTTAATTCCATTTAAATATGAGTACTTATAAGGTTAACATGGGAAACTCAAGAGCCACTGGGGCGGAGTCCTTTTGACGGATATGCACCAAACTTCACACAAACCATACTTGAATAATGCTTAATAATGCCTGAAAGTTTCATTACAATCTGTTTCGGAGTCCATAACGTTGAAATATATATATATACAAACCAACTTCCTCTTTCCTCTTTTATAAATATAGATTACTAGCTGTAACCCGCGGGCTTTGCCCCGTTTAACTTCTTAATTTTCAAGATGATCTTGTTCGCATGGCTCAATCACGTCCTGGTTGAAGTTCGTTCGCTACACTCACTCACCTTTAGGTTGGAGCTCGTTCGCTACGCTCACTCACCTTTAGGTTGGAGCTCGTTCGCTGCGCTCACTTGCCTTCAGGTTAGCTCGTTCGCTACGCTCACTTGCCTTCAGGTTAGCTCGTTCACTACGCTAACTCGCCTCCAGGTTGAAGTTCGTTCGCTATGCTCACTCACCTTTTGGTTGCCAATTAGCTGTTGTCATAAATGTAAAAGAAATAATAGTGCTGCACCCTGTTGGTAATCCTTGTAACTTTAATGCTATTGAACATCATAGAACAGAACCAACTTGTTTAATTGAAACAGCTGTTAAGATTCATTAATTCCATTTCTCATAAGGTTAACATGGGAAACTCCAGAGCCACTGGGGCGGAGCCGATTGGACGGATCACGAAATTGATGGTGTATAAACCTATTCCATGGAATTCTACACGTATGTACCAAGTTTCGTGGCAATCGGTTCAGCGGTGTCTGAGTTTATCACTGCCAAACAAATATATATATATATATACAAACATCCTCTTTTATACTTATAGATACTTAAATCATATAAGTTATAAGTTTGATGACAAATGCAGAGGTCTTTCCTAAAACACCTGGTACAGTTTTTTCTTCTCAAACATTTTTTTCAGTAACATGTCTGATCTTTACCACGTTATCAAATAAAACGTCTAATGATTGGATTTAGTTACGTTGAATATTTTTATTTGGTAAAAGAAAACTAGCTAATTTAACTATTTACCTGTATATCTGACTGGAAGATAAAGGCCTCGGCGGGGTGACAAAAAAAGGCGAACTTGGCGCTCGATTTTCTTTCTCCGATGTCCGAATGAACTAAAACATGTAAACAATATGTTGTTATTTAATGTTATAAAATGCCTAAAAAGTGAAATTATATTATCACTTTCATTGCTTTTTAAGTTTTGCACATCTCCAAAATGAATTGTGAGCAAAAAAATTATTTAAATTTTAAATATTATCCAAAAAGCAGAGTTTTTATTTCAGGAAATAGTATATATTATGTAGTAGACCGGAAAATAGCTGTTTACCTGACAAGTATGGTTGTTTCCGAGCGAACTGAAGTCGAGTGCAAGATAACCATACGAGTACGGTATTTTGGACCAATATGATCAATATTTTTTGCCATACTACTCTAAACTAATCTAACAAATAAATACCCCCGCCGCAGCAAACCTGCCGTCTTAGCGAATTTCCATTTGGCTGAATTGATTTTCAATTGATCCATTTAAATAACATTAGGTTTAACGAGTACCTAGGTTTGCTGCTACAAGGAAACTAATAAAGTGTGTGTTTTAAGTAAAATAATTATACCTTAGTATAAAATGAATATATTTGCCAAGTTTGATCAAAAGATATCCATAACCAAGCAAACTACAACATTTTACAATATTCTCCATAAGAATAACATGGGAATTTTAAATTGACCATTTTTTTAGTTTTCTCCGTAACCAATAACCGTACAAAAACACTTTGATATACTGAATTGTTTGTTTTTTTAAGCTCTTTAAGGAGGTTTAGAGGAAAATTGGGAAATTTTGTGTTTTGAGGGTCAAAAGTGAGAAAAACCAATTTTTACCCCATAAAACCCTGTTCCCATGGTCCGATCATGCTGGATCGCGAACTCATTCAAGTTTATCCCGCCTTACACCTTTAAACCAAATTTCATCAAAATCGGATAAAAATTACTCAAGTTATCGTGTTCACGGACACATATATATATATATATATATATATATATTGTATTTGATATTGTTCACTGTAATTAATATTAATAAATAATACACCATAGTACCCTTTTTTTTAAAAAAAATAAAAAATAAAAAAAAAATAATTTACAAAAAAAGGGTACTATGGTGTATTATTTATTAATATATATATATATACATATATAAAAATTTGAACAAATGGTGTTTTTGGCCTCTGGGGACATCAAAATGAAAAAGTAAATCGGTCCCGGGCCTAAGTGTTACCATAAGACCTAATAGCTACTTCCCTATAGGGAAATTCGCTAAAATCTGTCAAAATCTCTTAAATGTTCCCACTGGCCTAAGGACTTAACCACCACTTCTCCTAGCTTCTCTGAGAGCTTATATGTTGTAGTTGTTTATATCAAACTTATATGATGTAGGTTTAGTAACAAGCTTGTATTTTAATTTTATCTTCAGAATAAAGTTAAGTGTAAGTTTTATCACTTAATGATTGGTTATGCTTAAAAATATACAAGGTTTCCAATACCACTAAAACTAATTGTAATCAGTTGGTGTCCAGCAAAATTTGTTGCCGCACAGTAGTACATAAAGAAATTCCATACAATTTAACATATACGGCAAACAGCAGCTGACTAAAACCATTTGTTAAAAGTCCACTAAAACAGAGTGTTATGGCGACCAATATTTGAAAAGAGAATATTTTTAACCCTTCCAGGGCTATGGACGGATATATCCGTCAATCTTTGTTTACTTACCGGGCTGAAAACGGATATATCCGTCCCGAGAAATTTCTTTCAAATCAAATCAAACTTCATTTATTCCATGATAACAAAAATTACAAAAAGGTATTCTTAATAATAATGGAACTTCCCCACATAGGCGAAGCCTGTGCGTGGGAAACGAGTTACCATCAGACCATCCATGTTATACAATCTATAAACTAAATACACATTTACCATAAAGGAAAAAAAACTATTTTACTAGGAAGCCACAGCAGATAACGAAATATATAAAAAGTGAGTGTAAATATAGAGACAAATCTATTAAAAAAAGGGGTTTTCTGGGCCAAAGATATATCTGTCCACAAAACAAATTGATATACAATCTATAATATTAAAACGAAACAGTGTTTTTTTATTTCACGATTCTGAATCAACCACTCGACGGATTTTCATGATTTTTGTGTTGAAAGAAAGATAATTTTGAGAACTAGGGAATGTCGAAGCCATAATTTTAGTTTAGGGTCCCAGTTTTTTGGCAATTAAGTTTTAATTTTTAAAAAGTCTAGCAGCCGATGCTAAGATTCTAAACTAGCTTTTGGCATAAAATAATTTGTTTAACATAACAGCTGTAAACATTCAGCTTTTGTGTCACAAATTCAGCATTTGGATAAAAATGTAAAGACATACTTAGGGTTGACTTATCCTACTAATAATATTATAAATGAGAAAGTTTGGATGGATGGATGTATGGATTTATGTTTGTGACAAGTGAACGCGAAAAATACTGGTCGGATTGGGCTGAAATTTGGCATGATGATAGCTCACATTCCCGATTAACATATAGGCATATTCTTATTTCAAAAATCCTTTCGGGCTCCGCCCCAGTGGCTCTGGAGTTTCCCATGTTAACCTTATGAGAAATGGAATTATTGAATCTTAACAGCTGTTTCAATTAAACAAGTTGGTTCTGTTCTATGATGTTCAATAGCATTAAAGTTACAAGGATTACCAACAGGGTGCAACACTATTATTTCTTTTACATTTATGACAACAGCTAATTTGCAACCAAAAGGTGAGTGAGCGTAGCGAACGAACTTCAACCTGGAGGCAAGTTAGCGTAGCGAACGAGCTAACCTGAAGGCAAGTGAGCGCAGCGAACGAGCTCCAACCTAAAGGTGAGTGAGCGTAGCGAACGAGCTCCAACCTAAAGGTGAGTGAGCGTAGCGAACAAACTTCAACCAGGACGTGATTGAGCCATGCGAACGAGATCATCTTGAAAATTAAGAAGTTAAACGGGGCAAAGCCCGCGGGTTACAGCTAGTTTATACTATGTGTAATGCTAATCATTGATACTTTCAATTCTTCTGTAAGAGGATGACAGATTAATTTAATTTACATAGTAAAATATTAGGATGCTCAAATTATGTTTGAAAGCAATCATTGTAATCTTTGATTTGTTTTAGAGCAATATAATTTGTTTTAACTAACAGCTGGTTAAAAAATGCCCTATAGAACTATGAGGTTATTTAGGCCTACTCTGATTTTGTCATTGATTATAGGAAATAAGTAAGATTAGTAGACCACCGAGATAAGTAACACCATCGATGTGTACAAGTAGAGGCTCTGTACACGAGTTAAATAAAAAAGATATGCAAATTTTTTTACTGCTCAACTTTTTTGGAAAGGGTAGGAAAATCTAATGTTTTTGAATGCTTGAACTTTGTTTGGATTAGGCCCGGAAATATTGATGTCATAAAGATGGAGATCAAGAATCCTCAGGAATACAATTTTAAATTACCACAACAACCTCAGACGGGTGTTATCCAAAGATATACAGATGAATGACATAGATTGAACACAACGTCATAATTGACCTAGGATACTGAAATTAGACTAACCATCCTTTTATGAAATCTAAAAAAGTTGATTGGCGTGTGTTTAGTTGTGGTTACGTTTGGAGGCGCTGAATATTTTATAGTTTAAATAAATGAACATGGGGAATTACGATGTACATTGATTCAATGAGGTTGGTTTAATTATCAAGGATAATGGAACTGATAACGAAATGGATAAAAACATAGGCAATTAATTACGACGCTAGCTTTACTAGCGTTTTTACTTTTTTGAAATTCCTTCAACATGTGACCAGTTCTTTTGTTCAAATGAATATTATTTTTGACTCAGCTGTTTACAAAACAAACTAATATGTTGTTGTGTTTACTTTTATTTGTTTACACTTATTTATTTAGCAATTGATGCAGTGAAATTGACACAAAAGATGTGTGTGGACGATTCGTTTAATGATGTCAGGACACCAACGTTATAATTATGGGTACTGTTAATTTTTAATGGATGTTTTAGTTTTATTTTAGGGAGTTTCAATTCAGACCTACTGGAAATTGTGTATAGTATGAGTAATTGTATTGTGGTGATATTGATTATGGAAGAGGTAGGTATGCGATGGAAGGTGATATCATTGACTAGGCCTATACACTTCTCAATTGTTTACTCTTTCTACTGTAGGCTGCAATAAAATTTGTTTTTATACGTGTAAACTAGCTGTTCTGAATTATAGGCCTACACCGTTTTAAATTACTACTCCCGTACGTAGGAAAAACCTCGTGTTTATAATACGGTAATAAACATTACACTGCATTATAAATGGGTAATATTGTTTTTGTGGTTCAATAATAATTGCCACAGCTGTTTCGGCTATTTTGCACCATAGAGTGTGCGTAAGTAAATATTGCTGTCACTTCACACATGGTTGTTAGTGAGTGATGTTTACATTTTGTGTTTTGTACTTTATTTTTATGTTATTGAGCTAAAGTTACTAATGGAAACGATCTGAAATTTGAAGATGTTATTGAGATGCTTAATGACTGAGGGGGTTTTATTGTTGACAGTGAAAATAATAGTATGGAATGTGATGGATATGATCATCCTGAAGAACAGTCTTTACGTAGTGGAAGTCTTGGCGGGGAATGGGATTGAGGGCATGGGAGCGGAACTGAGTGGTTTAGATTTACTTCAGAATGATAGATACATTAATGGATAACAAATAAAACAATAGCCTAAGGTTGACGGATATATCCGTCTGCCGCCCACAAGAATACTCTTGTGAAGATTATTGACAGTGTTCATGTTTTGTGATTATCACTGGGGGCGGCAGACGGATATATCCGTCCACCTTATGTTTTTTGTGGGCCAAAGACGGATATATCAGTCAAATCAAATTTTATTTTCTTCATAACTTTTGTACAAAAATTAGTTCAGCCCTAAGGAAAATCTTTTTATGATTCATGAATTATTTTAAGTGAAATAAATACAAAACACAACTACTTTAGTTTTTAATTTTTGTCAAACAATAATTAAGCTCCAGCCCTTCATTTAATTTGGCCCTGGAAGGGTTAAATGTTTTTCCTTTAATTATAAATCATTCTGGTCCAATTATTTACTGACGTATTTTGAATATAGGATGAGTCTGGATTTTGATTTGTGCTTGGTTTAATTATTCCTGTAAATAAAAAATTACAAACATTTCTTAAAAACACAGGTAAATTGAAGACTACTTACCGGAGATTCTTGACTGTTTTGTCTGAACAGAGACGAACCAGATGGTGGTGCATTTAGTCTTCTTCTGTACATCATATTCTCCCTGGAAAATAACAATTTAACTTTTAGCAGTTTGCAAATTATTTTATCTTTAAGCTTTTTATTAAACTCTCTTATGACTTATTTAGTCAGATGTCATGTTAATTACAACAGTACACCAATAGGTACAGAAAACCGGCCTCGATTCCCCTCAGGGGTGCCCAGCCCCCCCCCCCCCCCTCCAAAGCTTATGCAACATAAATTCCCTCCTTCCCCCCAACAAACTGTTCTCAACCATATACCACCAAATCGGTCGACGGTCGTAGAGTTCTTGGTCCATTCTCCATCCTGTCCAACCCCATAAATTTTGATGGTATACAAATAACGATGTTTGTTATGCATATTTTTATATTTGGTACCTATTTTACCACCATTATTATAAGGCTGGTCAACATCTTTGCCGCAAGAGTAGTATAAACTGTAAACCTTCTGCCGTTTTTACATTTTTTATTACACTTAGAAAATTATGATAGCTAATTTGTTCAACAGAAATTGTTATTAAACTATTAGTTGTTCCCTTGCCTTGCAATGGCAGGGATATTTAAATCTAGTATGAAATAGTTACACTCCCACCATTGATTTTAGAAATATAATTCAACTATACTGCATATTTATTATTTTGATGAAATTATATGTCTTTCTTTTAATTCAGACTAGCAGAGTAACCGTCCTTCGTACGGGGTTGGCATATAAGTATAAAATGCTTATTGCAGTTATACTCGAGCTTTGCGTTTGCAAAGGAGAAGGACACAGTTTGATAAAATTTGCTTTTTTAAATTTACGGTATACTATAGTATTATTAGTATTACACATTTACCATAGCTATAATGTTCTACCACCTCACCTAAACAATAAAGAAATATAAATTATTAAAAATCCGCAAAATATCGCAAATTTTCATTAAATTAAGAACATAACATAACATAACTGTAAACAATCCTACTTTGACAGTTGATAGCATATCACAATTTTTTGTTGATGCTTAGTTCAAATTAGCTGTTTTCATAAATGCAAAATATATAGTGCTGCACATTGTTGGTAAATCTTGTAACTTTTTAATGCTTTGGCATATCATAGAACCAACTTTTTTAGCTGAAACAGCAGACTAAATTCTTTAATTCCCTTTAAATATGAATACTGTACTCATAAGGATAGCATGGGGAACCACAGAGCCACTGGGGCAGAGCTAGGATTTTTTAAATAAGAATATGCCTATATGTAAATCGGGAATGTGAGGTATCATCATGCCAAATTTCAGCCCAATCCGTCCAATATAGTTAATGCCTGATTGAACTTCAAACAAACACACAAACTTTCACATTTATAATATTAGTAAGATAAGTGGTAAGAAAATATAAAGCTACAGAACAGTGTAAGTGGCACTGATGCAAGTCTCATAATACCACTAATGTATTCAATTGTTTCAATTGTAATTAAATAATGATTTAGTTTTTTTTAATATACAATACCTATATTTGTATCCCCATAACTATAGTAAAAGTCAATAGGCTAAAGAGGAACACAGCATGTAACATGGTACCGGTACGGTAGCAAAGCCAATAAATCATGTTATTGATGTCCAATTCACATCAAATATATATTTTTACAAAAATGCTTTGATTTTGGTCAGACCTCTTTACCTAAAGTTTAATTAAAAATACACAGTTGTTCAGGAAATACGGAAAACAAAATAACAGTAAACTTTCACAACCTTTCATTAATAAAACACATTATCTAAATCCACCAACGTGAATGAAACAACAACAAAGTGAATGAAACAACAACAACAAACATAAAGAAAGAAATAACTGCTGGTTCATAATTATAAGGGAATATTAACATAGTGTCATTTTACCCATTCTGTATAGTTAATGTATAGTTAATTCATAACAGAGAAATATTTCATGGCAATTGCAAAATTAGTTGATTTAAAATAAAAGTAGACATGTTACTTACATCAGTGCACCTCATAGATAGCCAATGGTTATCTTAAAACTATAATTATGTATATAGACTAAACTTACCACTTCCTGAATGTTCACCAAACGCATTTGCTTTTAGTGAAGTGTTCAAAATGAATTTTTGTTTAGTGCCAAAATGGCACACATGACTTAGGAACACAGTCATCATCTAATTACTCTAACTATAAAAAAAATACACAACTTGAAAACTTACTCTTTGATCTGTCTGTGCTCTGCCTCCATCTTTTGATATGAACTCTTCAGCTTTTGGTATTCAGCCTTCAGCTTTTGGTATTTTTCCACCTGTAAAAAAGATTGTGTACATCTTAATTATTTATTTAAAATAATTTACTCCAAAGTTTCCAAGTTTCATACATTGATGGTACTGTACTTGAATTGAAAAATACTTTGATAAAATTCATTGATTTGCCCTGGAAAACCTATGAAAACTAAATGGCCTATTGTTGTGCTGTGTGTGTATATAGTGTATGTATAATATGTAAATAGAAAACATAAATACACGAAACCTGAACATAGAAAACCCTGAAAAAGGAAGAAAGTTAACGACTCCCCGATCAAACGATTGTGGCGAGGACACCGGAAGTAAAAAAAAGAACTTCTCTACTTTCTGAAGATACCATCATTGTGGCTGTGGCCAAATATATTGGAGGAACCATCTGAAACCTGCAAGAACAAAGGCAAGGTAACGAATAATTCAACAAGTACTCGTAAAACCTAATGTTAAAATAGGGAATAAATCTCATATCTTTAAGGAGATATTTCAGTGAAAATCCATTCAGGCAAACAGAAATTCCCTTAGTCTGCAGGTTTGCTGTGACAGTATTTTCTTATGTAGCCCACTGTATCTTATTATAAAACTAACCTTCAATTTATCGTTTTCAATTCAAGTTTTGAACTCACCACTGTTTGATGATACTGGTCCAGCCTCAATCTGTGGGTCTTTTGAAACTCCATCACCTTCAATTTGAGTGCAAGCCCTGTCTCCGGCTCCTCGAAGTAGGCTCTGACTTGTTCAATCATCTGGTGATACATGAGTTACTATCAAGATTAGAAATTCAATCCCCCTTGTTTAACTGTACCTAATGAGATCAATATAATATTTAATCTACAACTGTGTACAAAGCAAGTAACAGAAATATAAAATATGGCACACAACATTAATTAATACATCAAGTAAATCCTATATTCTAATACAAGCTTTGTCTGTTTGTCTGTCTGTCTGTCTGTAATTAAGATCCTGAATTCCAGCGGAAGGATTTTGACTAAATTTTGGAATTAGGGTCTTAGCCCTTAAAACGTGATTGGTGACAGCCGCTACCTCAGGAAAATTTGTATTTCGCTTCACAGTTCATGAAAATTTAAAAATTTAACATTGGCCTTATGGGCTGCCAAGTAGGCTAACTATATGTTGGTTGAACAAAATAACTAGTAAAAAGTAAACAAGACTTGAAACATGTGTTTATAACAAGCCATCCACGGTATACCAGGAAATTTTAAAATACAGTACAAGGTGATAATCATCAGTTGATGTAACTATTGAGAAAATATTTAATTGAATATTACTCGATTTAGGGTAAAAAAGAGCAAGTCAGTGTTGATAAGTGATTAGTATTTCGTGTTGGTGGGTGCCGTTTGAGGGCACTGGCATCGACTCAATGTTTCAATCTTATTTTAAGGGTGATTTTAAATTTGTATGCACTCTTTTTTATATTTTACACAATTTGGACAGTTGCATTCATAAAAATTGAAACTCCGCTGGAACTTAAATTAAAAAAACTAAATTAGTTGTAAAAATGTGAGTTTCCTTTATATTGCTTTTACAACCGAAATAAAACTATATCGAGCCATGGCACGGTCCCCCGGGACTAACTTCTTAATTTTTTATTAGCATGTTTTATTAATTTTACGGAGAGATTTTTTAAACAAATATGTCTATAATAACATAACACTTGAAACATATTTATACTTATACTATACAGTTTTCTTAAAACAAATTTAACTCAATCCCTGAAGCTATTCCTAAGAGTCATCTAGTCATCTTCAATGGGTTGTTATTGTCTGTCTTGCAAATGATCTTGTATAATGAAACAGAGCAGATCAAAATTGCCAATTGCAAACTAATTTTTGGCAGTCAATGTTAGCATGTTTTGACACAAGCATATACACATTTTTAAATAAACTTTGTAAATGTAAATGTATGTAATGCAAATGCACAAACACAAACTAAACTTAAAAGTTGATAAATTATTTTTGTTAAATTACAATGTTTACCTGCGATGATAATGCTGTTGTGTTGGCTCTTTCGCCACAAATTTTACAATGCTCTATTTGTGCTGGAAATAAAAATATTTCTGTAATTAGCCTACTGTATAAGGTAAACTGTTTGTACCACTACCAAATAACCAAAAATCTTCACTTTTATCCAAGTTAAGTTGATGTGCTACGTATGACTTATATAATAAGCCAAGGCCTACAGTAGACTCCCTCTATTCCGGACACTTTTTAACCGGACTACACTCGGTAGAAGTGACATCTCTTTATCCGGATAATTTTTATCAGCACATCGGTTTAACTGGATTAGATCGACAGGAAGTGGGCGGTACTGAAATAACTGTTCTCTTGAGAAAGATTTGAGACGATTTGAGAGATTTGACAATGCTCTCCTACATTTAAGTCAAATACTGTATAGAGTATGCGTTTCAACGAGATTTTGGGGATGTCGGTTTAACCAGAAAAACCGTTATCCGGACTGGCCTCGGTCCCGAGGAGTCCGGATAAGAGGGAGTCTACTGTATTTAATTTTAAGTAAATAGGTAGGTAGTGTTTTAGCGACATCCAAATAAAAGTAGCAAAGGATGATTTCAATTAATAAACATTTTACTGTTATGTGTCTACATAAAGTATTTTTTTGTTTTCGGTGAATCCAAAAATACAATCCTTAGTCCTAAGTGTTTGAAAAATAGTCAAAGTTTATGACTCTATGCACAATGGAATTGTTCCAAGACTGTAGCGATTTGGACGAGAAAATAGGATAGGCTTTGTGAGAGGCTAGGAGTAGGAAGGACAAAATACTCCAAAACCGATCATATTTTAAAATTCAGCGTAAAAAAAACTGGGGAAGTAGACTTTAAAAAATAAAATTTGTAATCAGCCAAACTACATTAACTAAGTTGTCGGTCCTAGGTCTAGGTCTTACCACGCCATCCAACTAACTCAGCTTCTTCCATTTGGGAAAAATCACAAAAATGAAATAGATGTCTAGGTGTATTTTGGGTTATTTTCAAACAACACCAATCACAATATTAATTAATATACCATTAACATTAACAAAATAATGTAATGAAATTAAAAATCCTTCATTTCAACAGGCAAAGTTGGGCCACATAAAACTTTTCTAAATGTAAAATAGAATACACAATTTAACACATTATTAACACAAAATCAATACTTTTTTGATCAAACTAAAACAAAATGTCTAACAAAAAAAGTCTCACACACTCAGTCAATTACGCAAATGCCAAAACAGTCCTAGGCACTAATGTAGGTATAAGCCGGGGGAGCGAGCTGGCGTAGTGGTTAGAGCACGGAACTTCAATCCCTGAGGTCCCGGGTTCGACCCCCGCCAAGTCAACAATGGATTTTATCTAAGTGATAATTCTGCAACCCCTAGGTCTAGCCTGAAGTAATGTGAAAAACAATCCCAGGCTCGTGCCTAGCGTCCTAGGACAAAAAAAAGGAATAAGCCAAAATTTATAATTAGGCCTAATTAACATTGAACGTTGAAGTAAATAACGTTGAATTTACCTGAACGTTCACAGCATTTGCAAAATATGTGACCACATGATGTTAAGATCATTTCTTTCTTTGGCTGATGACCTGGTCGGTAATAACAATTATTGCAGTGCACCCAATCCATCTGTTAACAAAAAGGCATTTGAATACTTACTGCAAAGAGCAAATGGAAAAACTGCTGGAATGTTCTAAAATTTATTAAAATTCTATGATCATGGATACTAAACATTTTACGTAGGACTATAAGTATCCATTCGAAATTTAAAAAAAAATTAAAACACTGTTTCTTGAACTAACGTAAGTAACTTAGTCCTATCTTATGAGTTTACTTACTTAGGTTACTTGTTGGTATACCATCATATATTAATATTAATATTTTGATCTAGCCTATTATTTAAAACTCAGGAGTAGCTCTAGCATAGCCTCCTCTAAGTTAATTCAATACTGCAGGCCCGCAGTTTTTCATATAATACCCAAGAGATAATTGCGCCCCTTTCCCAGAGCATATTTTAAGGGATTTCCTTTGGGCGAGAGTGGCGTCGGGCTTACCGGGCTATTCTACCGCCCAGCAAAAAGGGGGGTCCGGGTTTTTTGTTGTTGCAAATGATTCAAATGATTCAAATGGTTTATTTGGCCATTCAGTTCATACAGGACAATAGGCTACGTCAACAATACAATAAATAATAAATAACATGCCAAGCTTCTTCTAGCATTCTTGACTAACAAAATTAAATTAAAAGCTGAAAAAAAAACACATGCAGGATCTCAATCAATATAAAACATGCAATATAGAGCATGCAAAAATAGAAGTGAAAATTGCACATTTCTACGTATCTTTTAATGCATACCGCATCCTCTCCACCTACATTGTAGGAGAATTTTCCTCTTCCTTGTGCCCAAGCCCATAAAAGTAGCCCTTCAAGGCCTTGGCAAAATCAAAGTGACAAAGCCAAAGTCCTGGCCTAATGAAACAGCTGTTACACTAATTCCTTGCAGCGTCTGCACAATGTTCTTTATGTTGACACATTTTTTATTACTGTTAAAAGGCAATTAATGAGCTGGTCGTGTGGTGTGAAACTTCGCCACACACTAACGCCATTTAATATGCCTGAATGATAACAGTTTCAAGACCAAAATTAAATCCTGGCTCATTGGTAGGGCCTATTATGGTATAAATGTTTGACGCTGTCTATCCGGCCCTGGCTCTCAAAGACGAAGAGGAGGTAACTTAAATCATCAGGTTATTACTCGTCGAATGAGTAATTTGAGGACAACTTTGGCGACCTTATTAATCCAGCTACGCTGGTCAAAGATAAAGACTTCAAGTAGGCCTATCAAGTATCATAGCCTCGTTTTAGAGGAGGTCATGGTTCCATTTGTGAAGTTAGTTACCTAGGTTTAAATTTTTATCATGCCTTAAAATAACTTACATGCACAAAATCTGGTTTTTAAATCTTACCTACTAATATTATAAATGTGAAAGTTTGTGTGTTTGTTTGAATTAAGTTCAATAAACCACTGAACGGATTGGGCTAAAAATTTGGCATGATGATAGCTCTCATTCCCGATTAACATATAGGCATGTTCTTATCTGAAAAATCCTTTCGGGCTACATCCCAGTGGCTCTGTAGTTCCCCGTGTTAACCTTATGAGTATTCATATTTAAAGGGAATTAAAGAATATAGTCAGCTGTTTCAATGAAAAAAGTTGGTTCTATGATATACAAAAGCATTAAAATGTTAAGATTTACCACCAGGGTGCAGTACTATAATTGTTTTTGCATTTATGTAAACGGCTAATTTGAACTAAGCAGCAACAAACAACTGTGATACGCAATGAGAACTGTCAAAGTAGGAATTTTTTAAGTACAGTTAACTTATAGTTAACTTACGTTTATGTTTTTAATGTCATGAATAAGTAATTTGTGATTTTTTGTGAATTTGTAACTTAATGATTTATTTGTCTTTATTGTTTAGGTGAAGTGGTAGAACATTATGGCTATCATGGTAGATGTGTAATACCATAGCGTAGTATAGGCCTACTGTAAATTTAAAGAAGCAAATGTTATCAAACTTTGTCCTCTCCCATTGCAAACGCAAAACTTGAGTATAAGTAGCTGCAATAGGTAAGCATTTTTATGCCAACCCCGTACGAAGGACGGGTACTCTGCTAGTTATTCAATAAACCTAACTTAGAACCTGAGTAACTTGCCTAAATGTTTACCCAAGAGTGTTTTGACAGAACGAAGACTCTGATGTAGGGGCCGGACCGTATTTATATGGTTGCGTATATGGTTGTACTTAGCCAGTTAGCCTGACAACTAACTTATCTTAGGTAGAGTGCATAAAAATCATACTTCACGAAAAGAGATGTAACTTAAATTTAAGTTACTAGAGGTTTAAGTTAGGCAGCAAATTGTTCTACATGATAGTTCCTAATCAGCCCTGAAACTGTAATTTCATTAAAAAAAAACTCCTAAGAAATCACGATATGCTAAGGCCTAGGCCTACTCTAAATTAGGCTACTGAGGCAATTGGAATGTTTCAAAATTTATACTTAAGTTAGCCACCAACTCTAAGGTTTTTATGAACTAATTATAAAAGAATTTAAATGCCCTAGACAGTAAGTATAATATGAAACTGTAAAATACACAGGATTTTTACCTGGTTCAATTGAAGAAAGTAAATTAAATGCTCCAAAAGCCCAAATCGATGAACGTTCAACTTTTTTCTACACACGACACTGACTGACTGAGAATCTGAGATACAACAATAACAAATAACAATTACGCTGATTTTCAAATAACTGTTGAGGACAGGCTCGAGATGATAAGGGAAAGAGGGAAAAAAACATGCAATGTTGTTGCTACTTCCGGTGCAGTTTGTTACGTTGTTACTCTTGTTACTGTTCTCCCTTGTACAAAACGCAACAGATTTATGGTATGGTAAGATGCTTTTACGCCACACTACATTATTTTGACGAACTTCCCACGCAAGGATTTAGTCCAGAAAACAGCTGTTTGCCGCCAGCTTATTCAAATGGGGTTTCATTGCGTAATACTGTTCTGCAATGAGTTTTACCGGACACCAATCAGCTGATTATACTGTATTTGCGTGGCAATGATACCTCAGCTGATTATACTGTATTTGCGTGGCAATGATGGTGAGCACTTTTTCACCTCAAATTAGTTGACGAATATCGAAACTGTAAAATCGATACTTTTACCGCTCGGTTGGCTCGATTGCTCGATTGTTTTAGAGTAATCGAATCGGTAAATTAGTGTTTTTTACTAGCTACAAGATTATAAAGCGTGTTTCTGTTCTTATTTTCCTCAGGATATTCTTGTGTTATTTTATGTTTGTTAAAATTCGTAGTTATTGCAAAAATTATAAACATTTTGTATAATGTGAAAAAGTTATGTAGTAATTCAATAAGCTTATGTATTTTCCGATATACAGAAAGGTTATTTTTACTCTGCGCTTGTAAAGAGTCGTCATAAATAACAACAACAAAAATTCATTTAACAAACATTTAATAAATTAATTAACTAATTACATTTTAACTAAAAGGCTTCCATTTTAACTAATACTTACTTACTTGTAAGTAGGCCTATCAACCAATACAGAATTTCGGGAGTAAATTACACTCCCTCTCAGAAAGCAGGAATTTTGGCATTTTTTACAAGAAGCTGGGTTATACTAACAATAATAATACAAATTAGGTAACATAAATGGCCTCCATCTGATGATATTCAGTTTTGATTCAAACAAATTCTGGTCAAAGAACATAACCTTAGCAATAAGCTTTTCAACTGTTGACATTGAATTTTATTCCCATTACTTACTGATAAATAGAAACTGAAGAAGAATTTGTTCGTAAGGTATTAACAAATTTATGTATTCTCTTAAAAAATTGACATTTCGTCTCTAGGCGCTACAATTTTATGTTCTCTCCTAATGATCTACCATTATTAAATTCAAACTGTCGTCAAGACACGACACAAGTCAAAGGAGAACGGGAATGGGAATGGATGGATGGAGTGGAGTGTGAGTGGACTATCGATATCGCGATGTACTAAATTCTAAAAACGATCGAGCTGTAAAAGTATCGATTTTTCAGTTTCGATATTCGTCAACTAATTTGAGGTGAAAAAGTGCTCACCGGCAATGATTGGTTATAAACAAAAACATAACCTCTCTTAGAGGTTATGACTGGTGATGTTTAGTCCTTTAGTAGGTGGAAATATATAAGGATTTGTACGAATTAAGGTGCATTGTCCCTGAAGCGACTCTTGCGATAGTAGCTGAGCGATAGTAGCTCAGCGATAGTAGCTCAGCGATAGTAGCTCAGCGATAGTAGCTAACCATGTCATTGTCCCTGAAGCGATTGTTCTAGAGCGATTCTGTATATTAGTTTGCTGACTTTCGAGTGAATTGGTGCTATGAGTGCCATGACACCTCCTAATTTTAAAACGTTTTTACTAGCTCGCTTTTTTGTCCGGTACAAACTTTGCAATAAATTTTAAACTAACTTCCCGACCAGCTAGAGAAATGAAACTAGAGAACACAGCTCACAAATGGATGACAATGTAATACTATAACATTTAATTTTCATATTTTCCTTGGGCTAAGCCCCATGGGCTTCCAAATTTTCCATGTTTACATTTTGAAGTCAGCCGTAAATACTTAAATTCGACAGTTCGAAAAGCTTGGGTAGAGGTACAGGTTTTGCTCCCGAGAGATTCTAAATATAAAATAAGCAGTTCAAAGGAAATATAAAACATATGACTTCAGATAATAAGGGTTTGGTATGTATTAACAGGCCATATAAAATAGATTTAACATATTTACACATTAAAGACTAAAAAGTAGAAAATAAATTATAAATAAAAATCCTTTTTTTTAAATGCCACGTTTTTAAACGCACTAAAAAGTAAAAATAATTTATAAATATGTGGAGGGAAATACTTAAAATATTTAAAACTAAAAACGTGGGGTGCATGCAATAGATAACAATAGTTCAATAGGTAAAGATAATTGTAAATCAGCATGCGCCCACGTTTTTTTTTTAATCTTACAAGTATTTATTCTCCCCACATATTTATAAATTATTTTTTACTTTATAGTGCGTTTAAAAACGTTGCATTTTTAAAAAGTATTTTCATTTATAATTTATAATAGTAGCGATTTAATATTACGTACATATCTGATATCTTCTTTAGGGGTAAAAAACAGTTTTGTTTTCTTAGAAGACATTACGAGCAAAACAAGTCTACACACAACACGAATCGCTCAGCGACTGCGACTCTGACTGCCCTCAGAGCAGACCCGCTACAGTCGCTGTGTTCAGCCGCTAGCCGCTCCAGTCGCAGTCGCGTCAAGGACAATGGTCCCATTTGAAACAACGCTAACCAGTGCTCAGCTACTATCGCTCAGCTACTATCGCTCAGCTACTATCGCTCAGCTACTATCGCAAGAGTCGCTTCAGGGACAATGCACCTTTAAGTAGTATGGCGTAAACTATCGTACGTAACTCGTCCAAAATGTGTTTACCGGACTCGTATGGTAATCCCGTACTCGACTTCGTCTCGCACGGGAACGACCACACTCGTCCGGTAAACACTTATTTTCAGGACTAGTAACGTAATATACTATTTCGAATATCACTAAAGTTATTTGTGCAACTAGTGAGCAAAGTGAGCAAACGACTCACTCGAGAGAAATAATTACTCGCGAGCCGTAGGCGAGTGAGGAATATGGTTCTCGAGTGAGGCAATTGCACTTTGCACTTGTGTTGCACATTATATTTTTCCTACAGTTACCATAAAACAAATAAATTGGTAAAGAAACGTAACATATTTTTACACAGAAGTTAACTTTTAATATGACATTTAGATACAACAACAGTACAACTGCTGATCAGCTGATTTACAGCCAGTGCTGCCAACGTATTTTGCGCGCGTACGACCTTGTCTGCATGTTACGCGCTCACTATTTCGTGCCTTCATGTTGCAAATCTGGAGTGAGACAAAGTAATGAAGAGCGAATTGGATACTTTGCTTTCTCAAATCAGTGAGAGAACATGTACATCGTTAGGTAACTGTAGGAAAAATTATTATTCTATCTTGTTGTTATTATTTTTTTGCAATGCTGTTTTGTTCAAGAATCAAGAATTTTTATTGTCTTGTGTTTCATTGTATTTTATTGGCAAATACAGTATTATTTGACACTGTATTTTATGATATTTGTACTGTATTTGACACTGTATATTCAATGGTTGTATGTAACTTCTTTCTTTTGTTATTTCCAATTCAATTGTTATCTTTTCATTCTGCTCACGTACTTAAAACACATATTATTTTGTAAATGACGTGTCCTTTGAAATGAATAAATAAATAAATAAAATATATTTGAGGACAAACTGTCCGGATGAACTTTTACATCTTGAATATTGTACATAACTTTAACATAATATTTCTATTTTATTTAAATGGGAAATTCGCTAAAAATATAGTTGTAACATTTCAAAGTGGTTAATCCATGTTCCTACTTAATAGACCTATACTCGAGTTTTACTCTATGGCGTAAGTTTTTTATTAAACTATTCCCGCCATAGAGTTATTTTTAATTAGATCAAGTAAGTGTAGTGATGGGAGAATCGAATACTTTAAAGAATCGAATACCGTGAATTCGTAGCCTCCCCTGTATTCGAATACTTTTACGAATACTTGTATTCGAACACCTTTGAGTATGCAAAGCATGGAAAATGAGTGTGTAATTCTTTTTTCCCGTTCTTTTGGCCACTGTTATTTCGTTTTACAGTAATTAATTAATTAATATAATTTATTCTATGTAATTTTAAATTATATGATTTTTAAAAGGTACATTTATTTTGACTTATAATTATTTCATGGTCAGTTACAGTCTTATTAATGTATTATTTTCTATTATATTAACTAATTAATATCTTAAATAATATGTCTTATTCATTTGTATGGATAATTTACATCAGATATGCATGTTATTTTGCCATGTAACTATATAAATCGGTTGTAGTTATAATACATTCTATTCAATTGCCCTCTACCAGTAGTAACCTAATATTTTAAATATCCAATATATTCTAAATGTTAACGATTAATAATAATCTTATGTAAATTATAGGGCTAATGGTAAAACTATAACGAATAGATGAAAACAAATGCTGCAGTAAAAACATTAAATACTCTTACGAATGCTACGGATTCGTAAGATATTCAAAAGGGAATTCAGTAGTTGAAAAAGTGTTGAATACATTTTTGAGTCCCCCGAATTCGCTTTCTAGATGCAAGAAATCCTGCAAAATCTGAGGTCAAGAGTATTCACAAAAAAGTATTCGTACGAATCTGAAGTATTCGAATCTACGAATACTCGGGCTGTATTCGAATACTATTCGATTCTGTATTCGATTCTCCCATCACTAAGTAAGTGTAAAAATTAAAATCTAGACAAGACAAAACGACCGACGAGCTGAATTTCATATGACATCAGTTTTTATCTGCTTTATGAGGTAGTATATTTAACTGGATTAGTAATTTCTATATTTGACAATTTTTATGCTAAGATTATTACTTCGCAACTCTTAAAATGCAACGCGAATGATTTTTTCTATAATTTACAATTCAAAAGTTGAGGTTATGTTTGTCATCCACAGTGGCTTTTATAGGCTAGTGCTTAATTCATACAACTACGAGCATAATTTCTACAACAATTTATATTTAACCTCCCATTACTTAATAGGTAAAACCTGAATTGTCATTGAGGAGGTTTACAAATATATCCGATAAAGGGACAATCGAAATAGGCCTACGCTATCATTCATGTTTTTTTATCAATAAGTTGGTTTATGATCCAGACCAAGGCTTTAATGTCTTATAAACAATTGCTATTTAGCTTGAGTGCACAGTTAGTTGTGTAGGAAGGTAAGTCTTTGAAATGTTAGTGAACGAAAACTAATCTAACCTGACTAAGGGAGGACTATAGTTACACCTAAGCTAAAGTAAAATAAAGTTCATCAGGTAGGCCTAAACAATTGTATAATTTTTATGGGTACACTTCCATATCCGTTGGCACAAACAACTGAATGAAAATATCGATCGATATATCGATTACGATATATCAGGGTTTTGTTAGTTAGGTAAGGTTAACCTAACCTAACTAACCAAATGATATATCAACTTAAACATTTGAATAATCAATATTACTCATTCAGTTGTTTGTGCCAACAGATATGGAAGTGTACCCATTTTTATTAATTAGGGACTTGACTTACTTGAATATTTATTTTTCAGATAAATGCTATCTTCAGTTCTTTGAATAATAAAAACCATGCAAAACGGAGGCACAGATTTTGAATGTAGAATATGTTTCGAAATATTTCTATATCCTGTGTGCCTTCCGTGCAAACATCGCTTTTGCAAGGCATGCCTAGATAAGCACATAGACAACAACAACATGTGCTGCCCAATATGCAGGTATCGTGTTTCAAACTGGCTACGGCAATTGCGGCGAAACAATGCTGATATTGTCGACAAACCTTTCTGGGAGAAGGTGCAGAAAATATACCCTTTAGAAGCCAGGAAAAGAATCAATGGCAAAATAGATTATGAAAGTAAGTTTAAAGTTGATTTCATTTAAGTTATCTTAAATAATTAAGTTGAGGTAGCCTACGGTTAGTTAAAATCCTTTAATAATTTGGCTGCCTCAATCAGGAAAAAATGTCAGCTGCTGTTGAAAGAAGTGTGAGTTTAACTTCTGAATGGTTTGCATAAAATAAATTCCTTGTCGGCAAGGACAAATTAATTTACCATCTATGATTTTTAGTCTGCAGCCTCTCTAACTTGCTCCTTAATTTGAGGAAATTAAGTTTAACCATTGACTAGGCCTAAGTTATTGGATACAGAAGTGGAATAGGCCTACCATCTATGTAGCCTAAACCAGCTGCCACCAATTTTTACATAAAAAATTTAGTTGTGTAACAAAATGTACTAGTTGCTCTGCCCGTGCTTCGCTACGGGGTGAGAATGCAGAAAAGAATACTTTAGTTTTACTATAAGAAACTATTATATAGGTACTATAAGAAACAGTTGCAACACATTTACCAGGAAACATATAGGCAAAGGATCAATCGGGCTTATTTGATTATTTAATTTAAGATCTCTTAATGTATTACAATCACTTTATATAGTGTATTGCATTTAAAATATATGCAAAATAATAATTCATTGAACAAATGGCACCAAGAAACTATTCTCCTTGTAAACCAATTAAATTAAATAGCAGAAAAGCATTTCTGACAACAGCTGGAGTTTCATAACAATATTTGTTTCCCATGTTAATCTTATGGAGAAATACAAAACTTTAAAGGGCCCCAGGGCCTCACTCTCTAATTATTTCCCTATAAAGGAAGTTTCCTGCACAACTTCACGTTACGCTCTTTCCAATGACACCAAAAACATGTCAATCGGCTCAGTAGTTTCGGAAGAGTAATTGTCACAAAAACCTGCTTGCGTATTAAATAAGTACTATTATCCCTGTTACTCGAATTCGAGCAATTGCTAAGTATTACAGGCGTTATTTTAAAACGAACTTCAACCAAGTCAGCAAATATTTGTAGCAAACTGTTTTATTAGCAAACTTATTGACTGTTTACAATTAACCTATGCTCGTCTTCTCACTTTTGATTTCTGACAACAGCTGGAGTATCATAAAAATTTTTGTTTCCCATGTTAATCTTATTGAGAAATAAGAAACTTTAAAGTGCTCCAGGGCCTCACTCTCTCATTATTTCCCTTAAAAGAAAGTTTCCTGCACAACTTCACGCTACGCTCTTTCCAATGACACCAAAAACATGACAATCGGTCTAGTAGTTTCGGAGGAGTAATTGTCACAAAAGATCTGCTTGCGTATTAAATAAGTAATATATATATAGATAGATTAGTGTCTAAAACTCTATCATCTACCTTATTTTTGTTGCTGACATAGTTGATAGGTCATAACAGTTGCTATAGCTCATAATAAGTCATTCCATAAGTTTTACCTTACCTTACCTCCTTGGCCACTCAAACCTAAGAAGGTTTTTGGCCTCGCCAACAAGTTGCCTCCACTGCTGCCTATCTGCCGCCATGTCAAGAGATGCCCTCACTCTGCATAGGTCCTTCTGGACTTGGTCTCTCCATCTCAACTTCGGTCTTCCTAGCGGGCGAGTGCCTCGTGGTTGTCCATTGGCGATCTTCTTAAGCACACTTTCTTCTTCCCTTCTTTCTACATGGCCTGCCCATCTCAGTCGTCTACTCTTCACTATGGCTACAATGTCCGGTTCTTTGTACAGTTCTCGGAGCTCTCTGTTTTTTCTTATTCGCCACATACCTTCTTCATTTATAGGTCCGAAAATCTTCCTCAAAATTTTGTTCTCAAAAATTATAAGTTTGTTTTCATGATTTTTAGTTAATGTCCAGGTTTCCGAACCATATAAAAGCACTGGTTGAATTAAAGTTTTATAGCTTCTTAATTTTGTGTTTTTGGATAGTATTTTTGAACTAAATATTTTTGATACGCCCCAGAAACATTTGGTTGCTGCAATCAGTCTCTTTTCTATTTCTGTTCCTCTTTCGTTATTCCAGTTAACTGAGACTCCGAGGTATTTAAATTCGTTTACTCTTACAAAATTATGGTTATTGACCCTAAAAGGTTCAGCTCCTTCAGTTTGGGTTCTTCCGACTTTCAGATATTTTGACTTCTCTTCACTTATTTTAAGTCCAATCTTATTTGCTTCCCTTATAATAATCTCAGTAAGCTTACCTAGGTCCTCTTTTGATTCTGCAACTAATGCAACATCATCCGCAAAAGCAAGAGTTTTAGTTAGTAAAAAACATCGTTTAGCCTATCCAACAGAAATTAGTAGGCCTAATTTAGATCAGTGCAATCTGTCGCTGGCTCAAATCAACTACGATGAAATAGATTTAAAAACTGGCGACAATTCTAACATGGGGATGCAATGTCTAGTTGTATGAATAGTCTAAGGTTTAGGCCTAATTTAGAGGAAAAACTGAACTTAGTTGTCTTTTTCCAAGTAAAAGTAAGCCCTAGTGACACTGTTTAATTTGTCTTTATTTTCCATAACTCATTCACCAGTTTACTTGTAGCCTATAACTTACATGCTGAAGATTTCCTTGGGATAAATCAGTACATTATTCTAATCAGTGTTTTTTTTTCTTCAATTTGTAGATGAACTTATAGATTTGTCGGACTATTTTCAAAGGTTATTTTCTTTTAGGCTCCCTAATTCACTATTGGGAAAGACTTTCCTCTATTAATGAGACAGAAAAAAAACGTTCCACTACGGTCCACAAGGCACTCTTAGATGCGGGGCAAATAAGAAGAGAATGGAATGAAGACTGGCGTGGTTGGTCCGAACCAGTGTATCAAAACTGTCGCAATATTCTGCGAAGTGTGATTAACTACCCAAACAATCAAAGTAAAATATATGTTATCTCTAATTATAATTCTTTTTTGTTTTGTAATTAACTTGCATGTATTTGTTCTGCATTTTAGTGAATTTCCCTTGGGAAGTAGCTATTACTGCAGGTGGCACGTGAGACCTAAACCCACGACCGATATACTTTTTCATTTTGATTTCTCTAGAGGCCAAAACATCATTTGTTCACATTATACATGTATAGCCTATTTCTATTTATATATTATTCTAGGCTGGATTTGTAGAGAATGATGGACGATAAAGTATGAACAGTGCTAATAGATATTTACCTTACAAGTGAAATAGTGTGTTTATAGTGTGAGTGAGTGGGTCTTTAGTTTAGTTTTAAGAGCGTTTTTACATCACGCAGGAGAATGGTTGCGCAATGAGCGGAAGCGAGTTGCATAATTCACCTAAGTGATGTAAACACGCTCTTGGGTAACGTGTAACGTACAAGATTTTACCTGACCCGACAATATACAGGGGGTTACGTACAACATTAGGCTTTTCATTATCCATTTCACTCATCTTCTAACAGTAACGTTCTATTACAAACAAAAGCTAGGTTAGGATAATTCTTTAAAGCATAACAATAAAATTCAAGCGCATAGCTGATTTGTAGTATTAAACGTCGTTGGCTCCATAGAGGTTTAATTTTTTAAGTTGAGCACCCAATGTCATTTAAATTGGTTTCATTACCTCACCGATTGAGTTTTTGAAACTTTACTTCACTCGTGAAGTAAAGAAGTTGTATACATCACGCTTGGGATAGGAAAGTTTAACATGGCGGGCTAGGTAATATTCATTTATTAGTTTATTTATTTTATTGACTTTTTGTTCAGTTTTGATAAAATTTGGCTTGAAGATGTAGGGCAGGACATAGGCCTACGGTACTTGAATCAGTTTGCAAACCACCATGACCTTAGAAACAGGGTATTTTTGGGTAAAAATTGGTTTTTCCTAATTTTTTCACTCTAAACATAAAATTCTCATTTCTCTTTAAACTATTTCAAAGAGGTTAAAAATCAAATATATTAGTAGGCTATTTTTATTGAATTGTTTTTTTGTGTGTTTGTAGCCTAATTATTATGAAGAATATTAAAAAAAAAAAAAAATGTTAAATGCCCATGTTTATTAGTATGAAAATTAGTAAAACATTGTAAATTAATTTGCTTGTTTATGGATATATTCTGATCAAACTTGGCAAATTTATTTATTTTATACAAAGCTCTTAATATTTTAGCCTACTAAAAACCACACTTTATTGCCGGTCCCTGTTGCAGTAAACCTGAGTAGGCTACTTGTTAAATCTAATTTTATATAGGGGTTTAATAGCAAATTCAATCAGGCGAATGGCAATTTGCTTAGTCTGAAGGTTTGCTGCAGCAGAGGTATTTTCCATTTAAGTTAATCTTTGTTTGGTAATCTTACTAATATCATAAATGTGTTTGTGTGTTTGTTTAAAGTTCAATCACGCATTAACTACTGGACGGATTGGGCTGAAATTTGGCATGATGATAGCTCACATTCCCTATTAACATATACAGTAGACTCCCTCTTATCCGGACCCTCAAGACCGAGGCCAGTCTGGTTATAACTGGTTTTTCTGGTTAAACCGATGTCCCCAAAATCTCGTTAAAACGGTCCGTTTAAATACATACTCTATACAGTATTTGACTTAAAATTAGGAGAGCATTGTATTTAGACACGTAATCACTGGTCTCAAATCTTTCCCATGAGAACAGTCGTTTCAGTACCGTCCACTTCCTGCCAATCTAGTCCGGTTAAACCGATGTGCTAATAAAAATTATCCGGATAAAGAGATGTCACTTCTACCAAGTGTAGTCCATATAAACCGATGTCCGGTTAAAAGGTGTCCGGATAAGAGGGAGTATACTGTAGGCATATTCTTATCTCAAAAATCCTTTCGGGCTCTGCCCCAGTGGCTCTGTAGTTCCCCATATTAACCTTATGAGTATTCATATTTAAAGGGAATTAAAGAATTTAGTCTGGTTCTATGATATTCAGAATTATTAAAAAGGTATAAGATCTACCAACAGTGTTCAGCACTTACTTTTTTTCATTTTTTGAAAACAGCTACTTTGAATTAAGCAGCAACAAAAAAATGATAGGCAATGAGAACTGTCAAAGTAGGATTTTAGATCGTTTATGTTTTTAATTGCATGAATAATTTGTGATATTTTGCAAATTATTAATTAATAACAAGCAGTTACCTGGCATGCGTTGCTGCACTTAACAACTATTATTTTAAATGGTAATTTGTTCTTTACGATAAATAATAAAAAGTGTACACAAAAAAAACATGGAATAATTTAACTTACTTAATTGCCAGTGGATAAACAATGTTTTTTCATTAGGTGTATAGATTGTATAAGTTTTTAGGCGTACGTACCACCACGTGAGTACGCAACATACAGCTGTCCGTGTGAAAAGCATGTATTTTCTAAATTTAAACCGACAACACTTGATACATGTAGCTTAGTGTGAATGTCAATTTATTGCAAACTGTATTCGGTCCATGGCGAATACAGTTTGTCAGTTGCTGCCTTCATACCATACTATATAGCTTGAATAATCTGTCATTGAATGCTGTTGTAGTGTTGTAATATAAGTCCTTTCTTAAAAAAGGTCTTTGTTACCTTTGGAGGAGTCAGTTGAAAGATTCAATCTGATGCCCCCTCCCTGGACCTAAAACTTCATCCACCACAGGTTAAAAATCATTAAATAGGACACTGATAGCACAGAAAACATACTACGGTACTATAACCCAGAATGCCAAGCGCATGGTAAAAAGCATTAAGTGTTTTGAGAGAGCATTGCCTCTCAATTCGTTGGCAGCGCCACCAGCGTTGCAATGCACTCAGCATAGCAACGCTAGTGGTGCAGCCTACGAATTGACAGGCAAAGCTCTCTCAAAACACTTACGCTTTTTACCATGCGTTTGGCATTCTGGGTTATAGTAGTATGTTTTCTGCGCCAATAGATTTGTATATTATGTTTTTAAAAAAAACCTTGCAATGTCTGTTACCGAAAACATGGCCTGGTTTAGGCAAATTTGTTGTCCTAAAGTATTGAAAGTGATTATTCCAAGAATTCCAAATTGTAAGTATTATGACTAAAATGATTGCTGATTTTGTCTTGATTTTTTTAGGCTCTTTACAGGATAGTGAAATTCCAATAAGAAGACTGGCTAAGCCTGGAGAAATACACAAAGAATACGAGGAGTTCCTTCAAAAAGAATCTGAAGAAAAAAGGAAAAAAGATGAGGAAAACTTCAGGTTAAGTCAGCATATGATAAAGATGATTGAGGTAACACAACCTTTTTTTATTTATAGAATTTATTTTTATTAGCCTAATTATTTTGGATGCAGAGAGATCTGTATGATTTTTCCAATTTTGAAATGTTATAAAGCAAGTACTTTTTAGGGTGTTTAATAATTACTCAGACTCTGAATCAGTCTCTTTAACTGACATAAAACATTCATCACACACAAAAAATTTATCTTTACCTTTTGTAAAACTGCTTGACAAGAACAAATAGAGCCGCTTTAAATACATCTAAAGGCTTTAAGAAAATTTTCCATGTAGGGGAATAGCTATTACTAGGTCTTATGGTAAGACCTAGACTGCTTGATTTTTTGTATTTCCAAAAAAATCACCACTGTAGCCAGTGGCGTAGCGACAGTGGAACGAGTGGAGCAGTCGCTCCATGGCAGCAAGCACTAGGGGGCGGGGGCAGCGCCAGACTAGGACTTTTTTTTAGCTATCCTGTTTTGAGGAGATTTCTATGTAAGGATAAGTTCTGTCCAATGAACTTAATTTAAATTCATGTTTTTATTTTCAAACACCCTAATCAAATAGGTTAAATATAATAAACCCAATTAAAATTTGAATCTATGTTTCTAAAAATTATTATGTCTATATTGCCCCCTGGCTACACCACTGCCCGGTGCCCAAATTTATATATCTTACTAATATTATAAATGTGAAATTTTGTGTGTTTGAAGTTCAATCACGCATTTAAACCACTGGACGGATTGGGCTGAAATTTGGCATGATGATAGCTTACATTCCCGATTGACATATAGACATATTCTTATCTCAAAAATCCTTTCGGGCTCCGCCCCAGTGGCTCTGTAATTCCTGATGTTAACCTTATGAGTATTCATATTTAAAGGGAATTAACGAATTTAGTCAGCTGTTTCAACAAAGAAGTTGGTTCTCTGATATGGAAAAGCATTAAAAAGTTATAAGAGTTACCAACAGGGTGCAGCACTATATTTTTTTGCATTTATGAAAACAGCTAATTTGAACTAAGCAGCAACAAAAAACTGTGATTCCCAATGAGAACTGTCAAAGTAGGATTGTTTACAGTTATGTTTATGTTTTTCATTTCATGAATAATTTGTGATATTTTGCGAATTGTTGATCATTTATTTTTCTGAAGTGAAGTGGTAGAACATTATGGCTATGGTAGATGTGTAATACTATAGAATACTGTAAATTTATAAAAGCAAATTTTATCAAACTGTGTCCTCCCTTATTGCAAACGCAAAGCTTGAGTATAACTGCATTAAGCATTTTATACTTATATTCCAACCCCGTACGAAGGATGGGTACTCTGCTAGTACTTTATATAAGATGTATTACATCAGAAATTTAATAGTTCCAGAGCATTGTGGGTAAAAACTAATATTTTTCGGGAATGTTGCTGAAAGTCAACAGTCCCGGAAGATCAAATAATTTATACCTGTGCCGCTAGGTCAAAAACTACAATGTTTGCAGTGTCTGTAGATCAAAAATCCCAGAAAGTCAAATAGTACAGTCCGGGCTAAAAGTTTAGTCTATGTTAAAGCAATTGACTTATTGGGAATTTGACCTAATGCAACAGCAGGATTAATATAACGAAATACGGTAAAATACAAGTTCAGTTTCGCTGAGTCAAAAGTGTCGGAAGATCAAAAGCAATAAAAGTGAACGTCGATTCAGTGTAAAGTAGACCTCCTGCAACGCTTACTACACCAACAAAACTCGCTTTTAGTTACTTCGTGTTTTGTCATAATTAGAATAGAGCTAAAATTATCATATTTGGTACATAGCTTATTTATTAATGCTTCTTGCCAACTGTTTGGTCAACACTGTAAATAGGTATAGTTTATGTAATGAAAAGCCTTTCGTCAAAATTTGTGGCATAAAATACACGCAAGGACGATCTGAACATTTCTGGTTATTATATACGTTTGTAAAAGGAGATCCATTTAATTGTAGAACTATTTTATGAGTTATAATGTAGTCTACATATAAACTGTGTAATGTATTACGCCACGGAAGGGTTGAAACCTGTCCAAACTATCATATATATTATTATAACGTAAATGGGGTTTTTTCACGATTCTGAATCAACCAGTCGATGGATTTTCATTAGTTTTGTGTTGAAAGAAAGACAATTTTGAGAACTAGATAATTTCAAAGCCATAATTTAAAATTAATGTCCCAGTTTTTTATAAATTAAGTTTTAGTTTTTAAAAAGTCTAGCAGCCGATGCTAACCTTCTCCAATAAGTCAATGCTTCTAGCTAGCTTTTAGTACATTATAATTTGCTTAACATAACAGCTGTAACATTCAGTATTTGTGACACAAATTCAGCATTTGGAAGAAAATTCAAATACATACTTATGGTTGACTTATTTATACTATGTATGTGTAATGCTGACCATTGATACATTTAATTCTTCGGTACGAGGATGGCAGTTTAATTAAATGTGCATAGTAAAATACAGTAGTAGGATGTTCAAATTATTTTTTAAAGTATTCTTTGTAATCATCGATTTGTTTTAGTCCAATATAAATTGTTTTAACTAACAGCTGGTTGAATGTGCTATGTATACTTATAAAAGGCAAAGCCCTCACTGACACACTCACTCTCACTCACGCATCATCACTAATTCTCCCACTTCCCATTTACCTAGGAGGCTGAAATTCGATACACCGATTCTTTGGGCATTAAATAGGAAAACTAAGTAGTTTTTATTATGATCGGGCATTCGGGCTCCGCCCCAGTGGCTCTGGAGTTTCCCATCTTAACCTTATGATTTTTCATATTTAAAAGGAATTAATGAATCATAACAGCTGTGTCAATTTAACAATTTATGACAACAGCTAATTTGCAACCAAAAGCTGAGTGAGCGTTTCGAACGAACTTCAACCTGGAGGCGAGTTAACCCCAAGGCAAGTGAGCTCAGCGAACGAGCTCCAACCTAAAGGTGAGAGAGCGTAGCGAACGAACTTCAACCAGGACTTGATTGAGCCATGCGAACGAGCTAATCTTGAAAATTAATTAGTTTAACGGGGCAAAGCCAGCGGGTACAGCTTGTTATTCTATAGAATTATTAGGTTTTTAGCTGTCATCGTTATTCGGGGACCGAGCAGGTCCCTAGCAGCGACCACAGAATTAAAATTTTAATTTTAATTCTGTGGTCGCTGGTCCCTAGGGCCGCAAAATTAGCTGCCCGCTTACTTACTTAAAACATGAATGCATATTAAATACACAATCAGTATCCATAGAATTATTTTATTGTCACCGTTGCCTAGCAACAATTTATTTTTATTTTTGCTGATGCCTCGAATTATTTCTTCACATAACCTTAAAGTTGTAGTTGTGCTAACCATCAGTGTGCATTATTATAGAGGTGAATAGTGGCAATAGGGTATAGTGTGGTGCAAAATAGCGTTCGTACCACGGACCGAAATGGTTTTGCAGCTCTCGATCGAGACGAAGTCGAACTATCTCGAGCCGGCAAAACCTTATTTTTGGCCCTAGGTACGAAATATACTATTAAATGGGTTGTAGCTTAATCGGGTTTCAACTTTATTTAATTTACAGTCTGTTTCAAAAGTAGAAAAATAAGCAAATACATTAACAATAATACAACGTTAAAAGTATAGTGATTTACCACTCTCAACACTAGCTGACAAAGATAATTTTGATAACACAGCCGAATCTGAATGGGAGGTTTAAATGTCGTAAATGGTGTTGTGATTGTCCAATAAATTTAGTGCAAGATGAGAGCTCGCCTTGTGGTCGGAAACTTGACCAAAAGTATGTATTTTTCCAACTTATCTATATTTACCCTATGCTATAAATAAGACATGTAAATGGAGTTTCTTCTATTTGGTTTTATTTTCTGTTTACATTTAGTTGTTATTTCGTTACCTACATGGCAACCCATACGGCCCAAGTTATTTTTAAAATTTTAAATTCGTTTCTTGTGTTTATTTTTGAGCCTATTTTAATTTATAAAGGGATTCATCACATCTACAGGAAAATATCTTTCATTTGGTACCAACCGCGTGTAATTCGTTCCAGTAGTATGGTCAGGCTAGCTGTCATAAGTTTTGCAAAAGTTGTTTTGTATAAGACGATTTTGAATGATTTTCCAATTTGATTATCTTTTTTCACTAGATTTTGTAATTTCTTCTTTGACTTTTCAAATTCTAAGATTATTATGAAGTGTTCTGTTAGTAACAAACCAAGGTGCGTTGACAATTTTACGTAGCAATTTTGATTGGTATCGTTGAAAAATTTCAATGTTTGATGTACTTGATGATCCCCAAAGTTGGATCCCATAAGTCCAAATTGGTTTTATAACTTTTCTGCAAAGTAACATTATTTTGTGTACTAAGTTTTGATTTAGATCCAAGAAGACAATTAAGCTTAGTTATTTTAAAATTTAGATATTGTCTTTTAGTCCAGATATGTGCCTTCCAATTAAGCTTTGCATCTAAGTGCATGCCCAAGTATTTTATTTCTGTTACTTTAGGGTGGTAAATATTGTTCATGGATACTGGAGGACATGTAGCCAGATTTAGGGTAAAAGTAATGTTTTCTGATTTATTTTCACTAATTTTGAACCTCCATGTTTTAAAGCAATGTGAAATTTCATCCAAGTTTAACTGTAAATTTGCTGTAGTTTGAACCGGTTTGTCGTGGACAGATAAAATGGTCATATCATCCGCAAATGTGGCAACGATAGTATTTACAATTTCTGGTAGGTCCGATGTAAAGGGAATATACAAGTATGGTTCAAGTACGCTTCCTTTGGGGATTCCTGATTCTATAGGGTAAAGGTCAGTTAAATAATTTTGATGTTTAATTTGGAAAGTTCTGTTTGTAAGATATGATTTTTAAATATGAAAAACTGAATGGGGTAGCTAAATGTGGCATTCTTGTCAATAGTTCGATATATCGATAGTAATATTGTGGTAATATACACTAACACAATCGTAATAAACGAAATAATTTAATTATA